TGGTCTATGGATGCTTCGATTGTGGCCAGGGAGTTTGCTTGTCTCATAGTGGAAGATTCTGCTGTATCAATCTCGAATGATTGACACCGAAAGATGGATTGATATAGTTCGTTGATGCCGTCCTGCAGAAAGAGAAGACTACTCAACAAATCCTTTCTCGCTAATCCATCCAGTTTCGTCTTAATACCATCGAGCTCTCCCGTAATCAAGCGTCGGCATTCTTCGAACGAGATATCTCCATCTTTCAGACGTTCCGAAAGTTCGCCTCGAGCCCTGTTCGCTAAAAACCCGAAGCTAAGTTTTAAAACACCACCTACGATTTCGGTCATTTCAGTGCAGCTAATACGGTGTTAGGCTTGCGAACGTCCTTTATATAATAAGTGATCACGTGTATTTCTTTAAGGTTAATTCATTGGCGGAAGTGTGTTCAGGATGAAGACAAATTTTGGAGACTCTTAGAGCCTTTGCTTTGAAGGAAACCGCGTTTCAATTGTTTTGAACTTGCGGATAAGCGTCAGACAAGATGCCCACTTGATTGAAATCGGCATGCTCTCATGTAGGACGTTTTGTAACCTCCCAATATGAAGACCGGAATTCATTTAAACTTTCGTGACTAAGGATACAGCAATATTCAGGAAAAACAAAGCTTTTAAAATGAACTTTCTAGGTCGTTTTATTTGCTCTCGTGATTGACTTTACAGACCGACACAATAAAGAAGCTACGTCATCCCTGTTTTCGCGATAGTTCGATATTTTTAGTTTGCCGGCACAGTTCCGTTTATGTGAAGACAACGGAGCTTAGCGCTTGTAATATCAGCGAACGCTTTGATTTCGTGAAAAAATAGCCCGTAAAACTCTCAAAATGATTTAGTTCGAGGAAAATGATCTCAATAACACTTTAAATTGTTATTTTATAGTAGAGGTTCTCATAATGAAACCCAGTCGAAAGTATTAACGGTCTTTTAAACGGTTAATGATGTAACAGGCAGTCGGGAAACGAAAATGCGGGGAAACGAAAATGCGTGGAGACGAGATAAGGAGAATACCTTCGCTTGTTCTTAGTACAGTGCAAAGCCGTCGGTGACACAAATTTCGAAACCGTAGATACTCAGTCGCATCATTGATGCATGGTCAGTCCCATCATTTAACTCGATCTCAGGTTGCTTGAACAACCTTATTAACGACAAATATACACAGAAAATAAACCAAACCCTCAAATAACCCAAATAACTAACCAAAAGGTCAATTTCACTGGTTCAATTCGGGACTGTAAATACGAAAAAAAGAAAAAACAAAGTGGTTAGAGGCAGCATTCAAACACAGGTATCACAAGATTTGACTGGACTGCAATGCATCGATGAATAGCCCACTAGTTTAAATATATGTTGGTCAATTAATTGCAGTGTTCTAGCAACTTGGGATCGAGTTAAATGATGCGACTGACCGTCAATATGATACCGAGTTCGACTGTCTGCGGAATCGAAATTAGCGTCGGCGACATTTCCCGTTGCAGGCACGTGAGCCGCTTACTTGGCTGAAAGAACAGCTCTTCCTGAGAGGCGGATAATTTCCGAGTGTGCGCCTAATTTATATGCCAATAAATTTAAATCAAAGTTAGCATGATACCTCTGACAAATTCCGTTAGAATGCTACAAAAGGCTCAGTAGTCTAACTAGCAACCGAAGCGAAGACGACAAAGGTCGAAGAGACATGGCTCCAAGGGTGAGCCAACATAAAAAAACAAGGAAAAGGGTGTATTCTGTATCGGAAGTCTATTCAATAGGGAGTCACGTTTATAGAAATGACATGCAAACGAGTTTCAAAAATTTTCCCGCTATTTTTCTTGCTGTTGTTGCAAAAATATACAAATTGTCCGTTTCGTACTGATACTATAAAATGAATTTTACGTTGGACTGAATACCGCAAATGAAAAGACTTAAAAGACATCTTAAGATAAATAAAATTCATTCTACTTTATGTTAAAATTTAAGGCTAAAATTTAAAAAAATATTCGCTTTGTCTTAATGGTCTCCGCGGCTTATTTACTTGTCGTTTTTGTGTGTATTTTTGTCACTCGTAGATCGTAATTTAGTCCGATATAGTAAACAGAACATAACATGGTTTGCTCGAAGATTTGGACTTTTATTTTCGTTACATAAAATCCATATCAGTTCAGGAGCCGAACTGTGTAATATCCTATAAATATTTCACAATGTAAATAATGATTTCATTCGCATTGAAGATCGCCTATAGATTTATAGTTATTAAGTCAAAACATGTTTCCTATAAAAAATTATTTCACATGCCTTTTTTTTAGTTTACTTAAGTCATTTTCTGGCGTGTTTTCTTGGCGTTTTTTCCTGGCTTTTACGTCATCCAAGCTTTGATTGCTGTTCCACTGAGCAGAATACAACGGAAATTGCAATTTTATAATCGCTCTAAGCCTCTATATAACAACATGATTATATGCGGTAAATTACGAAATATAGTCTCGCAATTCCTGTATCATTTTTGGCAGTTTGTTTCATTATTACTATTACTCAGCGACATTGTGAAGAGGTCAAAAAGTACGGGTTTAATAGATATATAACAAAACGTGTCGTTTCTACGACAACCATGCATGCATTATACCATATCAGAGCTATGAAAAAACGCAGTGGCGTAGCCAACACGATAATTGGGGGGCCCATATTCATATATTAGTGATACGCACTGATGATTGATTTCTTTTCAAACTATCTTTACAGTCTGTTAACATGAATATATGAATATATATGGCCCGCAATTATCAATGTTGGCTACGCCACTGAAAAACGCCATAAAAAGATTTAAGACCTAGTAAATGATATTCCTTTTGTACTTGGTATACGATATCAAATTTCACCGATTATCATAACGTCATTTTATTCAAATCGTTGCAGTAATAAAGTCTGTCTTCCGCTCCAACGCTGTATCGTCATAATAAAACTTCATTTTGAACACTTTGTCCTCATCAGCTAAATCTGTTTTTCACGAACGAGGAATTAGATATTACAGTGAATATAAAGAGATAATAATAAAACTAATAAAACACGTTACATGAAATAACAGACCGCATTTAGAAAAAAGAAGTGAATCCGTTTCAGATCATATCGTGTAAATCCGTTTAACGAATTAAGACAATTTGCTCTTTTACCGTTAGTAGATAAACTGTTCCATAATATACAACCATTATATTCGAAACGTCTTTTACAAAACTCATTTTTATATACTATAAAGAAATTAAAAAGTCCACATATATATATTTACTATTTCTGCGGTTATATAAAGTGCTATATTCGTTTTACAGAGTAGAAACAAAATGACTCTTTTAAAGTTGGTGCCGTTATATAATTTAACAGCTTTTATAGCTACACGAAAACAACTTTATATTATTTTTAAACCTTTGATGTCAATTTTCCGAAGCTAGTTTATATCTTCCTCAGTTCCTCTTATCGTATCTTAGTTCTAGCTATGCAAATATCAACCTCGTACCCAGGTCTTTTGGGGAGGGAGGGTTAGGGCTAAGTGGAAAAAATGCTTCAAAATCCAAATTCACGTACTCCGGATAGGCGAGGATGCGTTGCGCGAAACGGCGGAACTTAGCGTTAATTGGTGCTTAAATCTGATTAAATCCACTTAATTAAATCAGCACGCGCCTAAAAACAAGGTAGCTACTACATACAGGGTGTAACAAAACACCATACTTATTTGTAATGGTTGTACAACTGATTACGCGTTTGTGAATTGAAAATACGTTTCCATGCGTGGGGTACTATCAAAATAAGCACACGAAGTAAATTGAAATTAGTTCGATTACGAATATCTCAGCTATATAACAACTCATTTATATACGGAGTTTTAGACGGAATTGTGTTTGCTCATATACGTTTAAAACAAGAAGTTCTCTTTGTAGACTTAGTTCTCAATAATTCTCATAAGTTTAATCCACTTTTTTTTCTTATTTTGATAACCCTAGGAAACGTATTTTCGAATTCCAGAACCCTAATTAGTCGCACAGCAATTGAAATTCTAATGTATGATCTCGTGCATACAAATTATGGTAGTTTGCAGTTTTTTTTCAGTACACACCTTTAGTATTGCATTCGCGTGACTAATTTCCTGGTAGGAAACTGAGAAAAGCCGCTTCTTTTACACCAACTAAAGCAACTATACTATTGGGGATTGGGATGAGACACTATACCAGCGTCCTCGATCCATCCCCAGCGAGAGCGCCGCTATATAAATTCTTAGAACTTCAGATGCGGCGCTTAATCGTGGGCGGCGCTTAATCCGGGGCGGCGCTCATTTGAGGGTGGCACTCAATCGAGTAAATACGGTATCTATGATTTCATCTTGAAATTAGCGAGGCGTTCACTCAATATATGTGTTATATAATATTCTGCTTAAATACATTCATTGGCGTGGGAAAAGATGATATAAGCGGTATTCAGGAAGCCATTTCAAAGTGATAACATGCTTTTCTTCAGAGCAGACCTGGATTTCTTACAACCCGAGGGTTGAAGATACTCCCGTGTTATCAGCCTTAGACATACAACACTTGAAGATGAGAGGGAAGCCTGAAAACAATGGGAACCTGATTCTGTTGATTAGTTAACGAATGCTTCCTGACGTTATTTTACTGTATTTTGACGCTCTAAAGTTTCAAATATGGCCTTAGTCCACGTACACACAATAGGTATATTGTAAAAATATTTCAACATAATCAAATAGTTCGATATCCATTTGAAATCATGAATCTAAGTGAATTGGTAATGATACACTACTTATCAGCATTGGTGGACTGGCCGATCTTGTTGACACAGGCAAATTTTGACTACGGACACAACCGAAGTCTGAACTCCACTATAATCAACTTCTCTATATTTTAAGCTTACAAGCAATTGACGCACAAATATTTCATATCTCTCTATTTGTTACGTTATAGCTGGATATGAAACTATATCTTGTCGATGACAAAAGAATGTTAAGCTTTTATTTGAATTCAAAATATACAGTTTGTTCAAGGCAGGCTATAAATGTTTAGCCTTTAAATGAGTTTTTCTTCTGTCGAAGCACACCCATTGCTTCTACAGGATCATTTGTACCGCAGTATTCCTGAACAGATTTCTCTCTATAGGATGTTCAAAAAACCCATCGTTATACAAGGATATAATGCAATAGGGGCCTGCATGCACAACTGTACTGTTTGTTGTGTTAAAGCGGTAGTGTCTTGATCGTTTTTAAACTTTTAAATCTGTTCTGAAAAGCCTTAATTTCCCAGCCAAAGCCTTGAAGTATGTTTTTACAAAGTCATATTGGTTATTATTACATTTTGGAAATACGAGTTCTCAGAAATTTTGTCAAGGCAAGGAAGAGGTCATTTAACTTACTCTGAAGCCATTTTAACTTACCTAACTCTCATAAAAGGATTGTATCCATTTTCCTCAGCCAAAGTTGAGGGAACTGTTGCATTTTTTCCTGCTCTTTGAGCCTTGAAATACAGTACATGCTGTTGCTTAAACCCAGACCAAAAAGCTGGTTCGATGGCAGTATACAATTTACTTACCTTGCACCATTCCAACTTGTTCGTTAAGCCTGTATTGTTTGGTTCAACATGCTGGGCAAAAACAAGCGACTGAACAGAATACTCGTGACCACAGTAGACGGACTAAATAGGTTCATAAATAAGTTTATTGTTCTTTTAAAACATTTCAAAGTCTCTGATTGGCTAATAGCTGTGAGGAATATCGTTATGTCCAACTAGTGGTGTTGCAACGTAGGGAATAAGACATGTCTTTTTAATAACATGTGACAAATAATCGGTCACTAATATTGGTTGACTATAAAGCTAATATCCTTTACTTACTTGTTATGTTGTCGTTCGTGCAATTAATCAGTCAATCTCTTCGAATGCATTCAAAACGTCAAAGAAACTTAACTTATTCACTTATTGTTTTAAGTAAAAGTTATATTTTTCTAGAAACTTGATTCAATCAAAATGACCCTTTTTGTACTTTTAAACACTCACTGTAGCTGGAGGTAGTTTTCCGAGAATTTCAATCAACGCCTGATACATTTGTTGTTGTGTTCCTTCGAAAAACTTGCCACAACCCGACAGAAATAAAGTGTCACCTAAAAGACATTGAATGTTGCAAAAAAACATTGTTTGTGGCTAATTAACTGCTAATTTATTTTATGGCCTTTTTATTTGTAATATGTCCTGAACTCTATATAAACTGAAACGTTAACTGCTTTAGCCCCACCAATAATTTTTCCCCACTTAGTCTTTAATTTCGAATATTTTTTAGTTCGCCCAAATTTACAAGCAATACAAGCGCTAAAATGCTGGAAACTTTACATAGGGCAAGCATTTGACCATTAAAACAGAGTGGTTATCCATTTCAAAATATTTGACATCATAACCAAAGCATGGTTATATTGTTTAATGTTTGTATATGAGCGCCAAACATGCTGGAAACTTTACATTGGACAAGCATTTGACCATTAAAACAGCGTGGTTATCCATTTCAAAATATTTGACATCATAACCAAAGCATGGTTATATTGTTTAATGTTTGTATATGAGCGCCAAACATGCTGGAAACTTTACATTGGACAAGCATTTGACCATTAAAACAGCGTGGTTATCCATGTCAAAATATTTGACATCATAACCAAAGCATGGTTATATTGTTTAATGTTTGTATATGAGCGCCAAACATGCTGGAAACTTTACATAGGACAAGCATTTGACCATTAAAAAAGCATGGTTATCCATATAAAAAAATTTGACATAATAACCAAAGCATGGTTATATTGTTTAATGTTTGTATATGAGCGCCAAACATGCTGGAAACTTTACATAGGACAAGGATTTGACCATTCAAACAGCGTGGTTATCCATTTCAAAAAATTTGACATCATAACCAAAGCATGGTTATATGACTTATATCGTTTAATGTTTGTTATGAACGCCAAACATGCTGGAAACTTTACATAGGACAAGCATTTGACCATTAAAACAGTGTGGTTATCGATGTCAAAATATTTGACATCATAACCAAAGCAAGGTTATATTGTTTAATGTTTGTTATGAGCGCCAAACATGCTGGAAACTTTACATACTATGTATTATTTTCCATTAATCCTTAAATTGAGAGGCATTTGCGGCGATTTCAGAGACCTATATTTCAAAATTTTCCTGGACTCTCCTAGCAGGCGCGCGGTTCCGAGTCCCAGCAATACGAAAAACGCTCCGCGGTCCCTGTAACCGCCATTTTGGAATCCAATTTTGAAGCCAAGTTAAAAGTGCACGGAGCAGGGTTTCCACAATGCAAGCAATTGACAATCGCTTGAAAGACTGAATTACCGTTCCAGTTCACATATTGAGTTCGTATACCTGTAAAAACAGCTCCGGGTTTGTCCACGTCAGCAGTGACGTAATAACAAATATGACCAGCGGTATGGCAAGGTGTAAAAAGGCATTTAATATGAAGGTTGCCAATCTATAAACCGAAATTTATAATGTAAACAAATTTGCCATGGTTCAAAACTTCTCGCAAGTCAGGTCACACCTTTAACTCGTCATTGTGCTTCACTTTCTTTGTCAAAGCCCCAATTCTATCGTCGCCACCATACACAGGGAGCCCAGGAACGAGCTTGGCAAGTTCTTCATTCCCTCCCGCGTGGTCCCTAGATAATTAAATTGCAAAAGCATTATCAAAATCAGAAGGCTGAAGTGTCTAATTTTAGGCAAAGCCTTTTTTGTTTGGCAATTTTTCGTCCAAGAATTGTAGTCTCTCCGCAGTCATAACGTGCTTGTTCAGGTGGCTAAGTTCACCTTCAGCTTGCCACGTCAAATTAATGTTTTTCTCAAAAACCCCTCACGGCTCACAACCTCCCACCATTTCACTTAAAGCTTGGCATGTTAGTTATTTCGAGTTTTAACTGGCTTGAAGATATCGCTAAGCCTAGCATTTTTCAGATTGAAAAACAGAAGAAAAAATAGAGAAAAATATACCGAATTTCTCTGCCCATCCAGCGATCCTAACACTTACATTTATTATGCCACACTAAAACGTGGAAACAATGTTTTTTTCAGGTTTGCCCCAGCTCACATCAAAACATCATAAAAAAGCTTTTATTGCTAACACAGCCTATACATCGAGACCTACCAATGGTGATGCGTGGTCAGCGCACTTTTCAATGATACACCTTCCTTCTCCACAGCTTTTAGAACCTGGAAAGGGCAGATGGCAGTTGTGATTCACATGGTAGCATGAACACAGGTTCATGTTAGAGAGATGCATATCAGATTGGTGCTCATGTCAGAGTCAGTCAGACAGGTGTTTATATTAGGGAAGTGTCTAAATTAGAGGTATTTATATCAGAGAGGTTTATATCAGAAGTTCTGTTTACATTAGAGAGTTTTATAATATGAGAAAGGCATCTATACTAGAGATATTTATATTGGAGAGATATTTATATTGGAGAGCTATCCATACTAGAGAGGTACTCATTTTCTAAAGGAGAATACATTTGGGAGTTGTGAAACCTTTCTCATCATAGAGAGGTGTTGATCCCTAAAAGAAAAGGTTTGTTCTACCGTTTTTGGTTCAACTGGGTCAACAATGGCAGCTTCCTTGGTCTTCTCATCAATAATCAAGTACATAAAGTTATCTTGTAGGGCTGGAAGCACCTGCACTCGCATACTACCATGATTGACGCTCTTGATGCTTGAATGCATTCTCGTCTGAGTTGACGTCCGACAATTTTGAGTTAAATGTAGCAGTCCTAGAAAAAACCCCACAGAATCAACGAGACACTGTTTCCTAATTCACAAGAAAAGATGTCAATGATACAAAACTCTTCAGATCTACACAGATCAAGACATATTACACAGATCAAATAACTATGCAAACTAAGTAAAACTTTCAATCAGTAATCTATTATCTTTCTTTATTTTCATAAATCATATTTAACTAAATTAAGGGGAGGTGTAGCAGCATCTTCTAACAACTTCCATAAAATGAGTATATAAGAACTGCCTAAAATAGACAAAAACACTTCATGGCTTAAACCAATGTAAAGGTTTTATACATAGAAACATTTTTGTCCATCAAAATTCTTCCCGAGAAGTCTCTTAAGTCAAAGAAGTGATCTTTACAAACATTGGCAGTGGTTTTGGGGGAAGAGGGGGAAGAGAAGAGGTAAAGGGGACTCTTAGGGAAATTTATAATGAAGTCATTCTACTGATCCTTAAAAGACCAAAATTACCAGTACTAATATTTTTACCAAATTCTCACCAATATTTGCTGAAGTCCACAGATTTGACTGAGCTGCTTTCCTGATTAAAACGCGGATAGTTAGACCTACAAACATTACCACTGTTCACCAGATATGGGAACATTTGTATCACTCCCCACCCGTTTCGTCTGTTTCCATACGGCTATTAGCCGGTAAAAAACACCCCAAACGGACGGGCTGTCAGCCGTGTAACGTACGTCTGTTTGTACGCTGAGTTCTGCCAATTATAGTTTCTACAGAAATTCTTTACCTAAATCTGAAGTTAAACGAAAAATTACGTTTATAATTTTAAAGAATGAAGTGGTAAGATACTGAACTTTAGAAGTACATGAGATTCTGCTGGAAAATGCGAATATTTTTATTTGTTATGAATTTAATTCTGGAATAAACGACGCCATCTTTTACAATTACAAGATTCTAATAATGTTTCTTTGGGCTATGAGTCAGTCAATTGGAAAGAGTTTACTCTTATAACAGTTTTTAACAGTTTTATTGTGGTATTTTTCTTTAATTTTTCAAAGTAAGGCAATTTTGTTAGGCATCTGGCTTGATGATATAACTAGTATGGGGTACATATTTATTTTGGTTTCTTTATATCAATGGTTTATATGAATTATGCAACTTTGCAATGATTTATAGGTAAGGACTGCAGAAACTGTAGGTCAAATTATATCAAATATGTACCATCTAAGTGATATTTGCTGATATGTGTAAAAAAGTTGCCTAATTCAAGCCTTCTGTTCCTGTAGTCATTCATCATCATGATGGTCTCACAGAAATGGAGAAGGTTGCTCAGCCTACAAGGTTTTTACAAGAAAGTAATGATGATGAGATACATGAGCAAATTATATTTTCTGAAATAGAGGATGAAGGATTAGACGAGAGGATCAGTGAAGTTGATAGCACAACTCCTTATCAAAAAGCCCAGAGAAAACAAAAAGGCTTAGGATGATATCAGAACAGAAATGTTCACTATAGAACTGATCATGGAAGTAGAGATACTTGTAGCATACTTCGTCATGCAAGAACCATGCATATGCAAAATAAAAGCTATGGTACTTGCATGTATATATATGTTATTGACATATATGTGTCAATAAATGTTGAGAAGTATTTTAATGATTTTATTTTTATCCACAGGCATTCTTAGTAATTGTAGTGTGGACTGTGCAATCTTCCTCAGATTGTTCACCTATTGCAGTTTGAAGATACAAGCAAAGAGAAATTTTCAAATAATGTCATATTTCTTTAATCCTATCCTTTCTGTTATGCAAAATATATGTAATAAATAAACCATTGGGTGTGTAGTGGTGGTATATTGTTATCGATATTGTTCTTGAAAAAGCCTTTAATGCAACCATAACAAAACACCATTAATATTATAACTATAACATTTAAAACACTGCATGTAGCTCTATAACATATACCTATGCTGTATGGTACATGGTGTATAAATGCTGATATTACATAGTTTGCAGCATGAAATCATATTCAAGGCTGGAAGCCGTATAACGTACGTCCGCTGTATGGTATATGGTGGTTGAATGGTGATATCAGAGAGTTTGCAGCATGAAATCATATTCACGGCTGGCAGCCGTATAACGTACGTCCGCTGTATGGTATATGGTGGTTGAATGGTGATATTAGAGAGTTTGCACCATGAAATCATATTCACGGCTGGCAGCCGTATAACGTACGTCCGCTGTATAGTATATGGTGTATGAATGGTGATATTACATAGTTTGCAGCATGAAATCATATTCACGGCTGGCAGCCGTATAACGTACGTCCGCTGTATGGTATATGGTGTATGAATGCTGATATTAGAAAGTTTGCAGCATGAAATCATATTCACGGCTGGCAGCCGTATAACGTACGTCTGCTGTATGGTATATGGTGGTTGAATGGTGATATTAGAGAGTTTGCAGCATGAAATCATATTCACGGCTGGCAGCCGTATAACGTACGTCTGCTGTATGGTATATGGTGGTTGAATGGTGATATTAGAGAGTTTAAACCATGAAATCATATTCACATCTGGCAGCCGTATAACGTACCTCTGCTGTATGGTATATGGTGGTTGTATGGTGATATTAGAGAGTTTGCAGCATGAAATCATATTCACGGCTGGCAGCCGTATAACGTACGTCTGCTGTATGATATATGGTGGTTGAATGGTGATATTAGAGAGTTTGCAGTATGAAATCATATTCACGGCTGGCAGCCGTATAACGTACGTCTGCTGTATGGTATATGGTGGTTGAATGGTGATATTAGAGAGTTTGCAGACTGAAATCATATTCACGGCTGGCAGCCGTATAACGTACGTCTGCTGTATGGTATATGGTGGTTGAATGGTGATATTAGAGAGTTTGCAGCATGAAATCATATTCACGGCTGGCAGCCGTATAACGTACGTCTGCTGTATGGTATATGGTGGTTGAATGGTGATATTAGAGAGTTTAAACCATGAAATCATATTCACATCTGGCAGCCGTATAACGTACCTCTGCTGTATGGTATATGGTGGTTGTATGGTGATATTAGAGAGTTTGCAGCATGAAATCATATTCACAGCTGGCAGCCGTATAACGTACGTCTGCTGTATGGTATATGGTGGTTGAATGGTGATATTAGAGAGTTTGCAGTATGAAATCATATTCACGGCTGGCAGCCGTATAACGTACGTCTGCTGTATGGTATATGGTGGTTGAATGGTGATATTAGAGAGTTTGCAGCATGAAATCATATTCACGGCTGGCAGCCGTATAACGTACGTCTGCTGTATGGTATATGGTGGTTGAATGGTGATATTAGAGAGTTTGCAGCATGAAATCATATTCACAGCTGGCAGCCGTACAACGTACGTCGGCTGTATGGTATATGGTGGTTGAATGGTGATATTAGAGAGTTTGCAGTATGAATCAAATATCACGGCTGGCAGCCGTTATAACGTACGTCTGCTGTATGGTATATGGTGGTTGAATGGTGATATTAGAGAGTTTGCAGTATGAAATCATATTCACGGCTGGCAGCCGTATAACGTACGTCTGCTGTATGGTATATGGTGGTTGAATGGTGATATTAGAGAGTTTGCAGAATGAAATCATATTCACGGCTGGCAGCCGTATAACGTACGTCTGCTGTATGGTATATGGTGGTTGAATGGTGATATTAGAGAGTTTGCAGCATGAAATCATATTCACGGCTGGCAGCCGTATAACGTACGTCTGCTGTATGGTATATGGTGGTTGAATGGTGATATTAGAGAGTTTGCCATGAAATCATATTCACGCTGGCAGCCGTATAACGTACGTCTGCTGTATGGTATATGGTGGTTGAATGGTGATATTAGAGAGTTTGCAGCATGAAATCATATTCACGGCTGGCAGCCGTATAACGTACGTCTGCTGTATGGTATATGGTGGTTGAATGGTGATATTAGAGAGTTTGCAGTATGAAATCATATTCACGGCTGGCAGCCGTATAACGTACGTCTGCTGTATGGTATATGGTGGTTGAATGGTGATATTAGAGAGTTTGCAGCATGAAATCATATTCACGGCTGGCAGCCGTATAACGTACGTCTGCTGTATGGTATATGGTGGTTGAATGGTGATATTAGAGAGTTTGCAGCATGAAATCATATTCACGGCTGGCAGCCGTACAACGTACGTCTGCTGTATGGTATATGGTGGTTGAATGGTGATATTAGAGAGTTTGCAGTATGAAATCATATTCACGGCTGGCAGCCGTATAACGTACGTCTGCTGTATGGTATATGGTGGTTGAATGGTGATATTAGAGAGTTTGCAGCATGAAATCATATTCACGGCTGGCAGCCGTATAACGTACGTCTGCTGTATGGTATATGGTGGTTGAATGGTGATATTAGAGAGTTTGCAGCATGAAATCATATTCACGGCTGGCAGCCGTATAACGTACGTCTGCTGTATGGTATATGGTGGTTGAATGGTGATATTAGAGAGTTTGCAGTATGAAATCATATTCACGGCTGGCAGCCGTATAACGTACGTCTGCTGTATGGTATATGGTGGTTGAATGGTGATATTAGAGAGTTTGCAGAATGAAATCATATTCACGGCTGGCAGCCGTATAACGTACGTCTGCTGTATGGTATATGGTGGTTGAATGGTGATATTAGAGAGTTTGCAGCATGAAATCATATTCACGGCTGGCAGCCGTATAACGTACGTCTGCTGTATGGTATATGGTGGTTGAATGGTGATATTAGAGAGTTTGCCATGAAATCATATTCAGCTGGCAGCCGTATAACGTACGTCTGCTGTATGGTATATGGTGGTTGAATGGTGATATTAGAGAGTTTGCAGCATGAAATCATATTCACGGCTGGCAGCCGTATAACGTACGTCTGCTGTATGGTATATGGTGGTTGAATGGTGATATTAGAGAGTTTGCAGTATGAAATCATATTCACGGCTGGCAGCCGTATAACGTACGTCTGCTGTATGGTATATGGTGGTTGAATGGTGATATTAGAGAGTTTGCAGCATGAAATCATATTCACGGCTGGCAGCCGTATAACGTACGTCTGCTGTATGGTATATGGTGGTTGAATGGTGATATTAGAGAGTTTGCAGCATGAAATCATATTCACGGCTGGCAGCCGTATAACGTACGTCTGCTGTATGGTATATGGTGGTTGAATGGTGATATTAGAGAGTTTGCAGTATGAAATCATATTCACGGCTGGCAGCCGTATAACGTACGTCTGCTGTATGGTATATGGTGGTTGAATGGTGATATTAGAGAGTTTGCAGTATGAAATCATATTCACGGCTGGCAGCCGTATAACGTACGTCTGCTGTATGGTATATGGTGGTTGAATGGTGATATTAGAGAGTTTGCAGAATGAAATCATATTCACGGCTGGCAGCCGTATAACGTACGTCTGCTGTATGGTATATGGTGGTTGAATGGTGATATTAGAGAGTTTGCAGCATGAAATCATATTCACGGCTGGCAGCCGTATAACGTACGTCTGCTGTATGGTATATGGTGGTTGAATGGTGATATTAGAGAGTTTGCAGAATGAAATCATATTCACGGCTGGCAGCCGTATAACGTACGTCTGCTGTATGGTATATGGTGGTTGAATGGTGATATTAGAGAGTTTGCAGCATGAAATCATATTCACGGCTGGCAGCCGTATAACGTACGTCTGCTGTATGGTATATGGTGGTTGAATGGTGATATTAGAGAGTTTAAACCATGAAATCATATTCACATCTGGCAGCCGTATAACGTACTCTGCTGTATGGTATATGGTGGTTGTATGGTGATATTAGAGAGTTTGCAGCATGAAATCATATTCACGGCTGGCAGCCGTATAACGTACGTCTGCTGTATGGTATATGGTGGTTGAATGGTGATATTAGAGAGTTTGCAGTATGAAATCATATTCACGGCTGGCAGCCGTATAACGTACGTCTGCTGTATGGTATATGGTGGTTGAATGGTGATATTAGAGAGTTTGCAGCATGAAATCATATTCACGGCTGGCAGCCGTATAACGTACGTCTGCTGTATGGTATATGGTGGTTGAATGGTGATATTAGAGAGTTTGCAGCATGAAATCATATTCACAGCTGGCAGCCGTACAACGTACGTCGGCTGTATGGTATATGGTGGTTGAATGGTGATATTAGAGAGTTTGCAGTATGAAATCATATTCACGGCTGGCAGCCGTATAACGTACGTCTGCTGTATGGTATATGGTGGTTGAATGGTGATATTAGAGAGTTTGCAGTATGAAATCATATTCACGGCTGGCAGCCGTATAACGTACGTCTGCTGTATGGTATATGGTGGTTGAATGGTGATATTAGAGAGTTTGCAGAATGAAATCATATTCACGGCTGGCAGCCGTATAACGTACGTCTGCTGTATGGTATATGGTGGTTGAATGGTGATATTAGAGAGTTTGCAGCATGAAATCATATTCACGGCTGGCAGCCGTATAACGTACGTCTGCTGTATGGTATATGGTGGTTGAATGGTGATATTAGAGAGTTTAAACCATGAAATCATATTCACATCTGGCAGCCGTATAACGTACCTCTGCTGTATGGTATATGGTGGTTGTATGGTGATATTAGAGAGTTTGCAGCATGAAATCATATTCACAGCTGGCAGCCGTATAACGTACGTCTGCTGTATGGTATATGGTGGTTGAATGGTGATATTAGAGAGTTTGCAGTATGAAATCATATTCACGGCTGGCAGCCGTATAACGTACGTCTGCTGTATGGTATATGGTGGTTGAATGGTGATATTAGAGAGTTTGCAGCATGAAATCATATTCACGGCTGGCAGCCGTATAACGTACGTCTGCTGTATGGTATATGGTGGTTGAATGGTGATATTAGAGAGTTTGCAGCATGAAATCATATTCACAGCTGGCAGCCGTATAACGTACGTCGGCTGTATGGTATATGGTGGTTGAATGGTGATATTAGAGAGTTTGCAGTATGAAATCATATTCACGGCTGGCAGCCGTATAACGTACGTCTGCTGTATGGTATATGGTGGTTGAATGGTGATATTAGAGAGTTTGCAGTATGAAATCATATTCACGGCTGGCAGCCGTATAACGTACGTCTGCTGTATGGTATATGGTGGTTGAATGGTGATATTAGAGAGTTTGCAGAATGAAATCATATTCACGGCTGGCAGCCGTATAACGTACGTCTGCTGTATGGTATATGGTGGTTGAATGGTGATATTAGAGAGTTTGCAGCATGAAATCATATTCACGGCTGGCAGCCGTATAACGTACGTCTGCTGTATGGTATATGGTGGTTGAATGGTGATATTAGAGAGTTTTAAACCATGAAATCATATTCACATCTGGCAGCCGTATAACGTACTCTGCTGTATGGTATATGGTGGTTGTATGGTGATATTAGAGAGTTTGCAGCATGAAATCATATTCACGGCTGGCAGCCGTATAACGTACGTCTGCTGTATGGTATATGGTGGTTGAATGGTGATATTAGAGAGTTTGCAGTATGAAATCATATTCACGGCTGGCAGCCGTATAACGTACGTCTGCTGTATGGTATATGGTGGTTGAATGGTGATATTAGAGAGTTTGCAGCATGAAATCATATTCACGGCTGGCAGCCGTATAACGTACGTCTGCTGTATGGTATATGGTGGTTGAATGGTGATATTAGAGAGTTTGCAGCATGAAATCATATTCACAGCTGGCAGCCGTACAACGTACGTCGGCTGTATGGTATATGGTGGTTGAATGGTGATATTAGAGAGTTTGCAGTATGAAATCATATTCACGGCTGGCAGCCGTATAACGTACGTCTGCTGTATGGTATATGGTGGTTGAATGGTGATATTAGAGAGTTTGCAGCATGAAATCATATTCACGGCTGGCAGCCGTATAACGTACGTCTGCTGTATGGTATATGGTGGTTGAATGGTATATTAGAGAGTTTGCAGCATGAAATCATATTCACGGCTGGCAGCCGTATAACGTACGTCTGCTGTATGGTATATGGTGGTTGAATGGTGATATTAGAGAGTTTGCACCATGAAATCATATTCACGGCTGGCAGCCGTATAACGTACGTCTGCTGTATGGTATATGGCGGTTGAATGGTGATATTAGAGAGTTTGCAGAATGAAATCATATTCACGGCTGGCAGCCGTAAAACGTACGTCGGCTGTATGGTAATATATGGTGTCTCATTTTATTTAAACCAAAGGTGATGGTGGTAAACACTCATGGTGTGGATGTAGAAAATTTCGCCATTCATACACCATATGCCATACAGCGGACGTACGTTATACGGCTACCAGCCGTGAATATGATTTCATGCTGCAAACTCTCTAATATCACCATTCATACTCCATATACCATACAGCGGATTTACGTTATACGGCTGCCAGCCGTGAATATGATTTCATGCTGCAAACTCTCTAATATCACCATTCATGCACCATATACCACACAGCGGACGTACGTTATACGGCTGTCAGCCGTGAATATGATTTCATGCTGCAAACTCTCTAATATCACCATTCAACCACCATATACCATACAGCGGACGTACGTTATACAGCTGCCAGCCGTGAATATGATTTCATTCTGCAAACTCTCTGATATCACCAATCAACTACCATATACCATACAGCAGACGTACGTTATACGGCTGCCAGCCGTGAATATGGTTTCATGCTGCAAACTCTCTAAAATCACCAATCAACCACCATATATCATACAGCGGACGTACGTTATACGGCTGCCAGCCGTGAATATGATTTATAGCTTCAAACTCTCTAATATCACTATTCAACCACCATATACCATACAGCAGACGTACGTTATACGGCTGCCAGCCGTGAATATGATTTCATGCTGCAAACTCTCTGATATCACCATTCAACCACCATATACCATACAGCAGACGTACGTTATACGGCTGCCAGCCGTGAATATGATTTCATGCTGCAAACTCTCTAATATCACCATTCAACCACCATATATCATACAGCAGACGTACGTTATACGGCTGCCAGCCGTGAATATGATTTCATGCTGCAAACTCTCTAATATCACCATTCAACCACCATATACCATACAGCGGACGTACGTTATACGGCTGCCAGCCGTGAATATGATTTCATGCTGCAAACTCTCTAATATCACCATTCATGCACCATATATCAGCGGACGTACGTTATACGGCTGCCAGCCGTGAATATGATTTATAGCTTCAAACTCTCTAATATCACCATTCAACCACCATATATCATACAGCAGATGTACGTTATACGGCTGCCAGCCGTGAATATGATTTCATGCTGCAAACTCTCTAATATCACCAATCAACCACCATATATCATACAGCAGACGTACGTTATACGGCTGCCAGCCGTGAATATGATTTCATGCTGCAAACTCTCTAATATCACCATTCAACGACCATATACCATACAGCAGACGTACAGTATACGGCTGCCAGCCGTGAATATGATTTCATGGTGCAAACTCTCTAATATCACCATTCAACCACCATACATCATACAGCAGACGTACGTTATACGGCTGCCAGCCGTGAATATGGTTTCATGCTGCAAACTCTCTAATATCACCATTCAACCACCATATACCATACAGCGGACGTACTTTATACGGCTGCCAGCCGTGAATATGATTTTATGCTGCAAACTTTCTATCTCTCCGAAATAAATGCGATATCTGAGTTTTTCACCGGACGATTGTGCCATGTTGAGTAAAGCTCGTTGATAATTTGTCCCTTTGCCCCTGGTGATAAAAGGCTGCACGCAAAACTGGGTCTATTCTATACATGGGCGTAGGAGGCATCCAGAGATTTGGGGGCCAGGGGGACCAGCTTCCAGGGGTCTTTTTTGTTAATAAAAGGGCCTTTAGGGATGGATTGATTGCCAAAACTTTAAGGACACTACTAGCTAGTGTGGTATATATTTATTCTCCTATTTCATAGGTGGGGGAGGAGGGGTGTTTCCACCCGGTTCCTAGGTACGTCTTTATAGCACGCGTATGATGTGAACAGTCTCAGTATCTCGGGGAAAAGCCCGCATATTTTCGTGTGTTGTGGCGCAATACTATTTGAATTATTTATCGATTATTAGATGCAAATATTTCGGAAATGAGCACTTTTTCTGTAACAAAATTCCCTCCAGATATTTCACCTGGATATCAGTGAAAAATTCCTTACAGCAAGCCAGACAACAGAGGCCAGACAAGGGAGAAATGCCGGACACAACAGCGCACAATTACAGATCAATTTAATATTGATAGCTAGTTCACTGTAGCTAGGGAAAGTGCCCCAGATTTTGCAGCCTAGTCCCAGGCCTTGTAAATGCGCGCTGCAGAATTTGAGCGCATCATGAAGTCTGGGTTAGTCTGGGGCGACCGGACAAACGGACGTACGTTACACGGCTGCCAGCCCGTCCGTTTTAGCCTTTAAACACGGCTATCAGCCGTATGACTTAGATGAACCGGGTGCACTCCCCCCCCCACTAAAGACAGGTCAATGGGTCAACCAACGACCTCAACAAAATGGCGGGTACTTTTGAGCATCGCCACCTGTTCTTGCTCGAAAGATATGTTCCCTTTTGCAGAAAGCACCGATTAAAGTGCTAGGAAGATGTCCAAAGTCGAGGGTGGCGACGATGCCCAGAAAGATGAAGGACATTTGAGGGGGGAAGTTTTGTTGAGTGGTTTCATAAAGAAGGCTTTGCAAGCCAAAGTTCAGGTATCTTGAACGTGTTGTTCCGTGTGGCAAATTGTGAGCATTGATTTCTAAGATAAATGTTGTTTATTTGTTTACGAGAACGCCAAGTTTTTTAAGATGTTGCTATTTTGCTACATTTTATTGCATTTTGTTACAGTTTGCTACTTTTATTTTACTTTTAAGCAGTTGCATTTCAAAATTCCAATGAAGTTGGAACTTTATATAAACAGTGAAATGCTAATGGAACTTGCTGACTTGCCCTAGCATATGTTCATTGCTTCATGCACTGATTAATTTCCTTTCATTCATTTGGTTGCATACAGGGAAAAACCAAAGATTATGACAATCTTGTTCAAAAATTGACAACATGTAGGGACGAGGTAAGATATGAGTCCTAACCCTAACCCCCTAACCCCCTCCACCACCACCACCATGCAGCCTTCAATGAATTCTACCATCATCATTAGATGGGGAAAGTGTACATTGACTGATAGAAAGTCTTATTTTAGCCATCTGACATGAAGAAGTACTTGTTCGGGTTGAAAAATTGTATTTCCAGTTTGACCAAAGAGTATGACACACTTGTTGGTGCTGCATTGGTAAGTGTGGAGATGACAAATGCCTTTCAGGGTGCATTCTGTGTAGCTTACACTCCACAGATCAATCTTCGGCGTAAAGTTGCAATGCTTTTACATAGCAGAGTACCAATGCAGCTGTGATCAACTCTTGTAGGCACTGCCCTGGTCAGATAAAGATGATGGCACTGTAAGTGAATTTGTGGATTTTCTCACGAACCTGGTGTCATCACAGACTTACTATCTCCACGCTTGCCTAAAGATGTTGATCAAGAACTTCTCACCAGGTACAAAATTCTCATTTAATCATGGAACATTGGCTATCAGTCAAAATCATCCTGTACAGATGCACAGTCAGCTGAATTGTAAACAATTATATGCCTTCAAGACCTATGTTGATAGCTAATTTCTTAGCATCTTCACCTTTTATTTACAGTAGGTAAAGTAATCTAGTTTAGCTGAGCTATATTAATCATTGAACCCCATTTTTTGTTCAAGATGAAAAGAAAGGACAGCCATTGGAAGAGATTGACTTGGATGGTATGCTGTTCAGTAATATCAGCACTTTGAGGTTTGATGCAAATGTCAAGTTGTTTAACAGAATTCCCATGTATTTTTAGTGCAGCAAAAGAGATTCCAAAGCACCCATAAGGCTTTGCAAGCTGTTGTGGAAATTGTTCCAACGTAAGTTAATTTTATTTCATAATAATGGCCTGGACTAATTTTTCACAATACTTTAATAGTAGACACAGTTTAGAACTGATACATGCTATATCCTTTTTCATAAATGAAGTTCTAGTTTAGTTTTTGTTTAATCTTAAATGGATTTGATAGATATACTCTGCATGTCATGTCGCCTTCCTTTCCTTTTGCTCTGTTTTGCTCAAAGATTTTTTCCAAACTTTTGTCATATTCTTTCCAGGGCTCCTGCATATTTGTTACCAGTGATTGTTCAGAATTATCCTTACATGAAGAAGTCATTGGCTCACCACGTATGTAAGACGTAACCGCTTAAAACTAAATAATTAAACACAGTTACAACCATAGACAACCATATTTTATTCTGTTTTATATAAGTCATTTTGAGGAGTTTTTTTCTAAAACCGCAGTTCTCATTTGTATCAACAGGCAACACTAAACGTACCAATTTCTAAACAGTGCCAGTGGTCTTCGCGTTTTGCAAACCTAAAATGCATCTAAAACTAAGTGTGCTTAATATATAATTTGAAAAACAAAATATCAAAATAAAGGAATAAAATGACACTCCGCTCTGTAAATGGAATTTTAAAAACCACTTATGTCTTCTGTATAAACCGTATTCATTTCTGAATCGCGAGAACCGACGACGTTGACAACGTGACGACCAATTAATCACTGCGTTTGTTTACATTTTGGTATACAAATCAGATCGCGTAAAATGGTGTTTTCGCGGGGAAACCCGTGAATTTCACAGCGTTTGATTTCATCACAAAAGGCCAGCAAAAAATGATATTTCCTAAACATGTTCGAGTCGTACTGGCGATAATTTTGAAAAACACTGGTAGGACGCCGGAAATTTTCGGTGGTACAAATTTAGAAAAATTACTTTGCACGCTTGAATGAAATAGAAATCTGAAATTCAGCCCTTTCATGGCCATGTTTAATTAATGCCATATTCCGAGGTTTTTCCCGCGAAAACACGTGTGTATGCCACTTCACGCGACCTGATTGGTCCTTATCCGAGATGTAAAAACACCGTGATCATGAACTCCCATGGGACTTTCAAAAGGCCTTCGCTGTTGTTCACGACGCGGCAAATCACTGATTCCATCTCAAAGCATTGGAAAGTCCAACTTTAAGTGCGGTTTAGTGAAAGTTTTCCTACTCTCTTCAAGCAATTACTTTAAATTACCCATTGTACCTAATTATATACGATTGATAAATAAATAAATATTTTTGCCGTCGTCGCTACGTCTTAAATCCCTTAAATTAAATTATTATTAAATCATTGACATGCATGCAGCGACGCCTAAAGGCAAGCATGTTTCAAGCAACGACCAACGTTTTACGTGATAGCAACGTTTTAAACCCGAAATTACTATGTTCTGTGCTGTTAAAGGCTAGTGTTAGCGACGTCAGTAAATCTCCAGGTCAATCGCTATTCAATTTTTCAAGTACTTTCTTTTGATTGCCAAAGCACCACTCATTTCAAACCAATCTGTTTGTTTAACAGGAATATTATGTGAAGAATTTACTTCAACTTTTCATATACGCTCCAAGTTTACATCAGGATATTTTGGAGGTTATTTGCAGTCATTTCCTGAAAATTGATGTAAGTTTTCTGCCTTAATTTCTGGGCCTTTAATACTGAAGTCTCGCATCTGGAATACCATGATTATAATCTTTATTGCATCGTCCTAAAATAGGTGGAAATCCCGAAAGAGGAACTCCACGATGAAGGGCAAGGTGAAGCCACGCAGTTTGACGTAGAGTTGGTAAGTTATTTGATTCTATATTAAATGTATTTGACAATTAACGCTGTACAATAGTTGGAGGTACTACTATAGGACTAATCGCGAATGGAGGGTCTTACTATATTAGATTAACCCCGGTTTTATAGCTGCAAGATTATGGGCTTTTAAGAGTCAATCACAGATACTTCAAACTGATAACCCACTAGACTAGTGACTATAGCGCCGTAACACGAAAATCGCAAGACCTTTTTATTCTCGTTCCAATAACTTGAAAAATTCTTGATCTTTTTTCCGCCCAAAAATTTAAATCACTTGACACTTAGGGGTTGTTAACATGCCCGGTTACCGAGATTTAACGAAGCGTAAAACGGACTTTGAGGTATTGAAAGAAGTCACATCACTCACATGCTATTGTTAGGATGATCACACGACCACAAGAATCATGTTATTTACTCATTTCAATATACCTCAAAGTCCATTTTACGCTTTTAAATCTCGGTAACTGGGCTCAGTGAACAGCCCCTTAATATAAAATGTATATACCATTTCTGTTTGTCAGTTTTTTTCTGAGACACTTTGGAACTAATGAGTAATGTGATGTCATTTAATGATCGCAGGAACACGACGGAGACGAGCAGGAGGAAACGACGAAGACTCAGGATGATGATGAAGAAAGTCAACCAGAGAAAATGAACAATGAAATGGCGGAAAAATTAGATGTCCTCATGAACATAATGTTTAAATATATCAAGAATGCGTGTCACGTCGAAGGTATGACTCGTGTAAAGATACTTTCACTACGGATATCAGAAATACTGGAATTATTACCAGTGCTATTATCAATACTCGGATGCAAAGTTTCGAGCCTTTCTCGTTTTGGGTATAAGCTATATCGTAGCCGCCAGAAAACCTTTAAATGTTTGCGGTTATTCTTTCCTAGAAATGTACAACCTGGATGTTGCATCAGACGTGTTCGAAACATTTCTTGAGGTATATGTGTCAATAACTTTTGGCAGAGGACCTACAAAATGTCCGTCAATATAAAGTGTGTAATTTAAAACCTTGAAAGTCTTTGAGTCAGTAGTGAAGAGGTGCTTCAAATCGATTTTATATTCAGCTTCAGTCTCGAGTCGTGCTATTTTTCACACAGTGTCTATACATGCAGTACATCCAAAACGTAATAATTTTTGTATTTTTTTAGGTGTTTTTAAAAGTTATTTTCCCAACTCACAACTCCTGTCACGTGCAATTTTTGATATTCTATATTTGTAGTTTTGATGAGGTAAGTTTCGGCAGAACTTGCTTATAAAATTTGGGATGCTTGTTCGTAAAACCTTTGATTAAATTTTTTTTTCAGCTTTTTGTAAATAAATTCCTTGAAGTTTGCTGGGCAAAGGTATATTATTATAAAGGCGCCTTGATATAACTTAATTCTGCCAAAGAACTTTTCGTTCGCCGTTCTTTGTTCTAAAATACTTGTATATAGCGTGTTTACCATCAAGAGAAATTTATAAAACTTTAATCTTTTGGCTTTTGCAGTTTCAAGATCCCAGTACGCCACTGATACTTCGACAAACGGCTGCGGCGTACATCGGAAGCCTGGTAGCTAGGGCTAACTATATCACACGGAGGTTTATTGTCAAACGTTTTGACGTGCCTATAATATCAACGAATGTCACTGCAGCGTATAAATAAATGCGATCACCCTAAGCGATTTGAATAGACTTTGAGTGAGTGAGTAACTTTTGAATAAATATTGAATAACTTCTAAATATTTTTCTTAGTGTTGTACAAACTTGTTTGGAACTGCTTGTGAGCTGGATTCATGGGTGAGCCTATAGCGCATGCGTGTATAGTCAAAACCGCAACCTTCATTGAATCGCTGTACTAATATTTTTATGATTGTACTGTTGATTTTTTTATAGCTATAAATGTTGATTTTTTATAGCTATATCGACGAGTTTGATAGCGCATCTGGAAGAGCTGACGCGAATAAACACGGTCATTTTTACTCTCTGTGTCAGGTACTAAACCATTTCAGATATATTCAAGTGCAAGTGTATAAATTACTCTCTCTGCATGGGTATGACTTTCTATGATAAGTCCCGGTTTATACTGTCGAAGTTCCTGTGCTCATGCACAGTTGAGAATTTGCATTGCTAAATCCCAAGTCCCAAATGTTTTGCAGCGAGTATAACGATGAAGTATGACTCAGAGTTAACCACTGTTTTCGTTCCTTGAATATTTCTACCAAATATTTGAAACTACCGTTTGAAAATTCCAACTGTGATCACAGAAAATTTGACAATGTGAACGGTCCGAGCCTTATGTATATATTTTCTCTTATTTATAGGCCATATTTTATATCTTTGTGTTTTGCCATTCAAAATTATTGGAAAACGAGGAAGGTAACTACATTAATAAATTAATGTCATTATAAAAAGAGACATTCAAAATTGTTTTCAAAACTGAATCTTTGACATCCCTGTTGTTGGTAGGAATAAATTTTGTTCAGCGTCTGAACTTCGAGCGAATCATTACGTGTAAATTAAACCCTTTGAAGGTTAGTTCAGCACCATTTTTTAACAATTTGCGATTAGGTATTCAGGTTTCTACTTTCTAGGCGTGATGAGCTTATCGAGTTCCGATCGAAATACGGCGTGAATTAGATTTTTTGCTGTTCTCTTGCTAGGTCTGCCTTTCAACTGTTGTTAAAATGTTCGCTGTTGTAACAAGGTAATAATAATATAGTTGTACATTTATTGTTTTGATTTGTAGATGTTTACACAAATTTCACAATCTGTGTCGAATTTGTGGACAGTGCATAGGTGATTTTGTATAAGGAAATACGAATATTACAAAGTTGCATGCAAAAATGAATTCGCGTGTTGGCAAAAATATTTATGAATTGTATATGAACATTCTTCTTGCAGAATGAACGAAGTTGTATTTTGTTACACCATCATTGAGAAGAACAATCGCAGTATGCTTCCTGTTGCTTCATCAAGCTTTAATTCATCTGTTGCAAAACTTAGTTTGCTTAATCAATTGGATTCATTTTTTCCTTTTGATCCTTATATGCTGAAGAAGTAAGTGCATAAATCAAGTTAAAGAAGTATGATAGAAATGTCTTCGACCCTGAATTGAGTTTACTACAGATTTTTTTAAAAGCAGAACCGAAATGAATATATACCAAATCTGTCAAACCAAGAAGTATATCTTTATTATTAATCAATCGCCCTGCATGAAAGCGAAACGTAAAATGTGATACACACATAATTTTAAAATTTTACATCACTATAGGTCTCGGAAATTTATTGAAGATATCTACCGCGAATGGGAAGGACTGGAACCCGATACTGGCCACTCCGAAGTAAGTTTTTCTCAATGTCCGAGTAATCGTAGATATTTTGGGTTACTTTCTGAGATTTATTAATTGTTCAGGCTAATTAATGACAAAAAGTCTGTCAAATTAGTTCAGCCGCTATATGCAGTGAATGCTTTTGAAGGCTTCAGTTTTTTACTCATTTTGTACAAGGGGAACTTACATCGATTGTTTCCACAGGATGAAGAAAACGAGGACTATTTAGACCTTGGAAAGACACCAGAGTCGCTGCCGATGGCATCGCTCAATTCATTCAGTGAAATGTCAATATCTCCTGGTTTCACTAAGGTTTGATCTAAGCATAACAACCTTACGCATAGTGTATTGTGCATTAATTGTGGCTGGCAATCATCCAGACTGACTCCATCATGCAGAATTTTTGACACAAGCAAATTTACGAAGCGTTAGACTAATCGTATTGTGGGCTAATAAAACAAAATGGCTACTGAATAGCGACAGAACGAGATACCAGTAAATGAAGGCCTTTTGTGATAAAGCTCTTTTGTGATAAAGGTATCCTGGTTTGTAGAATTCTAACAATGTGTCCTAGGATTACTTTGTTATGGTATGCCACCGCGAAGTAAAGGGACAAACATTTGAACAAGATATTTATCGTTTGAAACTTTGTATACTGACTTTTATTAAGAATCTCAATGCAAAAGGATTTGACTGAGAAAAGATTTAATTCGTAGTCTCAAAAAGTACATATATAGACAAATACTGATTACGTACATTGACATTGTATATATGGAATGAGCTGCAATCGAACTGGGAAGTGACTGGAAATGACATATTTTCTTTTTATGATTATATATTTTTAGTTTTTCACGCAATTCGTAAAACTAAGAAAAAGCTCACGTTCCCGTCAAAATATACAGTACCTGCTGTAAAGTTAAATTCACAATATCAAAAAAGATGGCGGCATGTCGATTAAGAAAAATTTTTTGCGAATTTAAATCGGTTCCGACAGCAAAGTTTGTTCAAAGTTTGTGCAAAGGTTCCGACAAAAAATGTTTCATACAGATTAGGCGAGGATTTGCTACCTTTTGACGTAATTTCGTGTCGCTGAGCTAAAGTTTTCTGTTAAAAATAAGCCATTTTCGTTTTGCGAAAAGCTACGTTGATATCGACATGTGTCAATATCTTTTTGAGAGAATTTTGCGGAGAATTTTGCTTTTGTTGACAAAATTGGACACAGGACACATACGATGAACAAACTCGCTAAAAGAAGATTAGTCCTTACTAAGTTATGATTTGACAGTAAACTGAATTGTTTTCTTCTCTGATTTAAACTCCCCCAAAAAATTCTTAAAATTGACAAGCGGCCATCTTTTTTACTATAGCGAATTATTCTTGGGAATTTGGCCTACCATGCAACTATGGAAGCCAAGCGCGTTGGCCAAACCTAATATTTAATGCTATTTGCTAGTTTTAGTGCAAAAAGATTATATAAAGACTATATTGTCTGTATATAAATTAATTAAAATAACAAGTTAAAATGGGATTGTTTTGAATTATGGTTATTCAGTTGTTTAGTCAAGATTTTTCACAGGTGCTGCCACTTTGATTTGAAGAGATTCAAATTCCGGTCAGTGTGTGATTCAAAACCATTTCTAAAAACTGGAAATTCAACAACGCATGATTACTGGACTGAATGTATATTTAGATGGGGGATGACTGTTTGGGATTTGGCGTAGTTTATACATAGGAGTCGATTTCTATCGATGAATGTAATAACAAGCGAACGTAATTGAGACTCGGTCCGGCGCCATCTTTGGAGTCATTTGAAGACTTACTTGTTCGTAGTTGATTTGAACGACGCCGGTTTGCGAGGCATCATGTTTCCTGAAGGCATCCGTGAGCGTTTTCAACATGACACAGCATTGGATGAAGTCGTCGAACTTCATGCTTCGCGTGTTTGTACGGTCAAACTTTCGTACACATAGATCCGTGAACTGAGGCGACCTAAAAGTAAGGTTTAAAGTTCAGGTTGGTAGATTTATTGGTGGTGCCTCGCCTCGGGAAAAACGGACGAGTTTTAGCAATGCGGTTTCAAACATATTTTGTCAGGAATATGTTCGAGTTTCGCAGTTTCGAGCTTCGTGTGAAACTCTTTAAGAAATAAGAAAATCAAACGTAATCTTAACTCTTTAGGAGATAAGAAAATCAAACGTCTCAATGAGACGACTCACGGATGCACGAATAGCCGATTAATTGTTGGCTAGTAGACTAACCAGATAAACAAGTTTTAATACTATAAGCGCGCAAAGCAGGTTGGTCGAGTTAATGGCACTAAAGAATGCGAGACCGTTAGCAACGACTCCCTGAAACTCCTACGGAGTATCCGTGCGTCAAAAAGGAACTCTGCGAAGGGTCATTTCATGTTAACACAAGATTTGAGCTTTATTTAAAACAAGACAACAAGTTAACGGTGATACTTTGGACTTTATTTCAATGCATCCGTTTGACTGTGACTTTGAAACGGTTGTATAATATCGCCGTGAACTCGTCTTTAGTGATTGAAGCTGAAAACTTGTTTTTTTTTCTATATCTGATACACGAATATACGTGACAATATCTGATACTTACAGACGATAGCCAAAAGATCCGAACGCGACGTTCAATTCTCGGGCATCGATCGTTCCTGATCTATCCGTGTCGAATCTGTTTTATGGAAAACAAAATGGTTTTTAATGGCCTGTTAAACGCAGTGCAATTTTTCTGGCAACATGCAATGGAATCCTATACTTTTAGGAGAAGAAAATTACTGAAGAGTCTTTCTCGCGTAATCCTATAATACAAAATTTGCCGACCGCAGACGCAGAACTGTATGTTCCCCATTTTCCAATATTTCTGCATCGAGACTTTTCGATGTTACTAATTTTAAAATGCTTTTTTCTAGATTTGCTGATGACTTTTCATAGTTTTAAACTTAGTTAAAGGGGGAATGGTCCATACTTGAAGTTTCATTTCCAATAATTTCATTTCGAAAAGGACCCTTTGATGTTTATAGCGGTGCGGTTCTGGTTTGTTTTCTTATTCTGTGGACTTGATATAGTTTAGCGCTTTTTCGTTGCACATGAAGCGCTGGCGAAATGGCAATGGCGAACACGTGTTCTGAACAGGTTTGTAAAAATCCTTTTAAAATATATATAAGAAATCTATAACTCGTTGTAGTATGTTTCATGAAACACAAATAGGTCGAAGGCCTTCAGGTTTTTACAAAAGACGGCGATTTTTTCTATCCATTTGTATGAAAACGCGAACAAAAGGACGAGATATTCACCGCTTCTTTTCACTTCGACTTAATCGTTAGAAAAGCTACATTTCTTGCCACAAACGTTCGTCCATAGCCATATATGATTTGTGTCTAATTTAAAAATCGAGGTATTCACCTATCAAAACAATTTTTCCATTCCTGAATGTATTTCCACAACGCTGAAAATTCATGAATATCGATGGTTCCTGATCTGAAAAATACAATCGACGCTAATACTTTACAGCATGTTCCACACCAGAATTGTGGTCGGCGAGCTTCCCCAGTGTAGCAAGGAGATTAGTTGGGGAGGTGGGTAAATTTGCCACCCAATTGTACAGAATAAATTTTGAAAATAGAATTTTAGGTAGGCTAAACCTAAAAAAGGTTTTTTAGGTGGGTGCCAGGTGAAAGGCATGTACATCACTGTTGGTGACATGTCATGCAGTCTAGAGGGGGTTTTCCTCCACTGCTGACCTGCCCCCAATCTATACACCCAGGTAATTTATATGCCCTTGCCATTCTGTTTATCCAAAAACAGCTTACTCTGGTACTCTCAAAAACCAGACTTAAATAATTCTTGGGTTCAAAGGGTATTAAGTTGGAGTGGAAACATACACACTTCAAATTCAAGCCAGGGACAGTTGAAGGAAAAGTGAGTCCACTATAGGTCCTCCGGCAGGAATCGAACCTACGTTTTTGCGATGCCGGTGCAATGCTCTTGCCAGTGGCATCGCAAAAGTGTAGGTTTGATTCCTGCCAGAGGACCTATAGTTGACTCATTTTTCCTTCAACTGTCCCTGTCTTGAATTTAAAGTGTGTATAATTCCACTCAAACTTAAGACCCTTTAAACCCTAGAATTTACGTGCATCTAGTGAAATGTGAAAAATCACAATTAAATAATTCTTACTTGTCCTTGTCAAACATTCCAATCATGAGACGACATGTTTCAGAATTGAATTGCGACCAGTTACCATTGAGCAAGGCCCTCTGAAGTTCATCTGAGGAAATACCACCAGAGTTGTCCTGGTCTACAGCCTACAAAGTTCCATATAGCTGTTTGTTAGAGGAGGTATTTATATTGGAAATTTGGAATACCCATTGATAAACTGTTTCTAAACTGTTTTTGATAGAATTGTAATTTAAGGCACCAGGCTAGGCAGCCAGGATCATCCTGGTTAGATCATCTCTTATTGTTCCAGTGTTACTACAGGAGGAAACCTAAACTAAACGAACTTTATTTATACTGCATAGCTCTATCAGTTCTAAACTGTTTTTCCTTGAGGTCCAGTAAGGATCATCTCTTATTGATCCAGTGTTACTACAGGAGGAAACCTAAACTAAACTAACTTTATTTACACTGGATAGCTCTATCTACCAGTTCTAAACTGTTTTTCCTTGAGGTCCAGTAAGGATCATCTCTTATTGATCCAGTGTTACTGCAGAAGGAAACCTAAACTAAACTAACTTTATTTAGTTAGGGATAGCTTTATCAGTTCTAAACTGTTCTTCCTAGAGATCAAGTAAAGACTTTATTTATACTGGATAGTTCAATTAGCCTTTTTATAGTTGTGATAATCTACTATCCTAAGTCCTATCCTATTGAACTGTCCTAAACTGTATACAATAGGTGTACTACATTCAATTACAAGGTATGTACCTGAAACCATTGCCATAATGCCATGTCAATTCCAGGTGGAGGCCCTGTTTGAGGACGCATTGAGGGATTATAGGCTGGGTATGTGTAGGGTTGGTGCCCTGCGGGTTGGCCGTAAGGATTGTGTGCTTGTTGATAAGGATGCGATTGTGGTGGGGGTGCATTGCCAAAATGGGGAGGTGGTGCTTGACCATAAGGATTAGGTGCAGCCTATTAATTAGAAAACAAAGTAGTTGTGTGATATTTTACTAAAAAAATTCCCTCTGTGCTCCATAACATGTTATATAATAGATACGCCTACAAATGCCAGTTTTCAGACTTGGCAATCAGTGCATAAACAGAAATGGCACAAGAACTTGTTTCTATTTATCAGAATGACATTTATACAACCAATTTTATCATGTGAATGGGCGTTGACTGGTCGGTACTACACCACTGTTAAATTAAGCACACCATCTACCATTAAATTAATTAATGTTGCCACATGGTTGGTTTTGTTGAAATTAACAGTTATTTCGTTAAATGTAGCTAATACTTTGCAGTGCACTTTGGTCAAGATGATTGCAGTAACAAGGTGCTCTTTATTCGGTTTATTGCATATGAATTTTGTCTTAAACGATCTCTTAGCGTAATGAATTCCTGCTATTAAAAGTGCTTCGGCATAATCGAGATCACGATGCTAAAATTGTATGTACATACTTTTGGTAAAACACATGCCATTTTAGATAGAATTGGTTTCATAAAGAATAAGAGGTAAACGACAAGCATTTTTTGAGTGAATACTGTCTTAGTAATACTAGGGCTTACAGCGATCCGTCTTGAAATTGATATATTTTGTTTACATATTTAGAGCATACTGTGACACAGTTCACTATATATGGTTGAAGAGCGTCTAACTGTGTGCTTTAGAGTTTCGCCACTTACCCCGTAACCTTGGTTATATGCAGGCGGTCTTTGGTTCCACGACATGTTTGTAACAGTTCAATTTTATAGCATAACACTTTAGAAACGCTTCCAAACCTCGCAAACTTCCGTAAATCAAGGTCGTGTTTTTTGCTTGTTTTTATTTGGAATTTCTTAGATTCTTCCCGGAAAATTGTTTCCGCGCAATCACTGAGACTGAGTACTAAATACCAGTGCATCCACTTTGAAAGTATTTTCCATAATTCCATTACACTTTTATTAGTTTTATACAACTTTTTATTGTGTATTTATTCTCAGTATTATCCATTATGAAATATTATAGGTGAATAGAAAGTGTATAAAATAATATTGTAGTTATGGTAAACATTGCAGTTGAAAGTGGAGTTGATTAACATCAGCCAATTGAGTTAAACTTACAGAGTTGTAGTGTACAGACTCTGTACACTCTATAGGAAAAGTTATTAATGTTTTACTTCACTTCAAACAAACAATTTATAACAAGTTTTTAAAAAGCTTCTTTTCTGGTACAATATGATATATTTAGTAATTCACAAGTTTCAAATTCCTCAAAAAATGTTAATTTTTATTTTAATTACACCGTTTTCCCAATTTAAAAAAAAACAAAGTGGAAACTGCATTTGATTTAATATTCAAGATGGTGCCCGACTGGTGTTTTTCTTTTTTGTAAATAAAGCCATTTTAACGTTGAATAAAAAACGATCAAATAGCCACAAGAAAGAATTATGGACTTTGATTTTGAGATAGATCCCAGGTTGGTGATTCAGAGTTTAAAAACGTGCTGAAATTGCACTCGTTGGTGTGTTTTGACTTCAATTTGTATCACCGTTTTGTTCAGGGGTTTAAAAGGAAAACCAGGCACGGTGACCCTTTCAAAAGACAAGCAGAACTTGATTGGGATATCTATCGGTGGCGGAGCTCCTCTGTGTCCTGTATTGTACGTCGTTCAAGTGTTTGACAACACTCCGGCGGCCAAAGACGGTACGTTACAAGCGGGAGATGAGATCGTTGGAGTGAATGGCAAATCTTTGCGTGGAAAGACGAAGGTCGACGTGGCTAAAGCTATACAGGCTGTCAAGGTTTGATCTTTTGATCGTTTGTTTAAAATAAATGAAGTTCACGTACTTGTGTTGTCTTCAGCATCAATCCAAGTGTATGACTTGCCAATATTTCTATAAACCAGAGATTTCTATAAACAGTGATCTAAAAAGGTCACCTTTTTAACCTTTATAACGGTTGAAGGCAATAAAAGTTGATGTAATTGTTTTCGTCACCCAGGCAGCATTACATGTGACACCAATGCGAAAGTTGGCCTGGTAAATACAATTATGAAGTGGCATTTTCAAACCTTAACCACTGTAACAACATATTCAAAACTGGTAATGCCAAAATTTACACAGCTAGTATCTAGTAGGTCTACCCATTCAATTCAGTTAGACCCATTCAGTCAGAACCATTGTTGCTGTTCTGGCCAGTCGGTGGCATTAGTTATTTTTTCCACCGTTATTCTAGTAAATAAATTTTATACATAATAAGACTTTTGAAACTGAGTAGGTGAGCTGTTTGTTCCCTATATTAGGCGGGTTTCTCATGAACACAAGATAGTCAAAGACAATGTGAAACCGGTGTATTAAATGGCATGATCCACTAAAATATGGACATGGAAAGCAGTTTATTTGCCATTTTTTGTTGTCTTTGACGTTTCTGGCTTACAGCCATTTGACTGTCTTTCTGATGAGATGTTGGCTGCAAATACTTCATAGAGAAGATCTACATATTTTAATACAACCTTCTAAATAAATGATGATGTTAAATGGAGAAAGACTAATTTAACATTAAGTTTGATTGGCTCTGCAAAACTAGGGAGCCAATCATACACTGCATAACATCAGACTTTCCGTGTTAGATGTTATATGAGAAAAATATAAAAAATATAATAAACTGGATATAGCAACTATAACCTATCAATTGTGCATTGGAAACATTAAAGAGCTTAGCTGAAGATTCATGCATACTTTTCCATTTTACAATACTTTTGCCTGCTATGGACAAATTTCACTCCAGTAAATTTTAGGGGAAATGTTAAGATTAAAATTATGACCGCGAGACAATATAAACGTTTTGTGTGTTTAAGCTCACACAATATGATATTTGAAGACATAATTCGGTTGTTTGACGGAAAGATGATGCGTGATGAATTGTTATATTTTAAAAAAGAACTTCATTTCCAGGCCAACTCATTGAATTAATTCAACCAAAAGAATTGATTTTAGAGTTTATTATTAAAAATGCATTCAATACCTTTTGATATCCTTGTTATAAAAAAATTTCAATTATTTTCTTTTTGAAATGCTCTACTTCCCCTCTTATATAATTTACAATTAAATCATAGTTAATCATCTCTATATTTGTGTCATGAGAAGTATTCTCAGCGAGTAAGTGAATCTCCCAAACTTACCAACATTGACTTGAAGAATATATGTATTTTTTCTCAAATGCGGAAAACATAATATTAAATAAGGAAACATACAATAGTCAATACGCTATTTCAAGATGTAATTTGCAAGTAATATAATTTATGTAAACAAATTTTTTCCATACTTTCTTTTTATCCACCTTGTCGCACTGAAATTATCTGTTTGTGAATCACACAAAAGAGCCCAATTTGATATGGTTCGATACTATCTGAAGTGGTCAATATAATTTAGCGACTCATCGTTAAATAAATTCTTCGCTTCATTCTTCACTAAACCTTGTGAGACAGATCGCAAAGTTTAAAACGGCGAATGTTTCCTTCATTCTGTTTTGAAGAGAAATGGCGAGAAGAAGTTCATTTGGAGGCTACGATGACCAAAGATTCGTAGAAAGAGTCGAAGAAAGGCTATTTTGTCCGATCTGTCACAAGGTTTTTAAAGACCCAGTGTTATGCCGAAACGAACATTACTTTTGTCGCTCATGTATTCAAAAGTGTTTTAACGAAATTTCTGAAACCTGTCCAACTTGCCAACACCAACTCACGGAAGAAACCTTGGCCACACCAACCTTGTTTTTTATGGAAACGTGGAGGCGTCTCAGGATTCGTTGCGATCACGCAAGCCGTGGTTGTCGAGAAGTGGTCGAGCTTGAATTTCTCGATCAGCATGTCAAAACCTGTGACTTTTCGCCAACACGTTGGGCAAACACGGGCTGTTCTAAAGTCATCAACCGAAACGAGCAAGAACGACATGAGAACGAACAACATAAAGCCGTGCAGAATTGACGTGTTTTCCCTCGTTTTCTCATATCCGCGGTCTACAGCAACATGCATATTTTGAAAGCGAGAACATTTCATCACTATATAGCAATGTTTCTTTAAGAACAGGATTTCTAAGTAACTAGAAATATTTTATTCATATCTTTCTTCTAGTTAATTTTGTGTGACACTGTTATAGCTTGATGTATAACTGGCTATAATTTGATATATACTAAATATTTCAGTCATTTAACAGTCATTCTATTTCTATATATATATGACAAAATTAGTCATTAAAAATCAATGAAAATTTTTATTAGCAATTACTATTGTAGGTTCTACAGCTTTTATTCAAGTGATAAAAATTGCTTTATATTTCTTGCGGTAAGCTTAATTACAGCCATAAATCAGCCTTTACGGAGAAATACGTTGACATTTATTGCGATATTCCGGGAATTGAAGTTCCGAGTAAGTTTAAAATCGCATTGACATTGTCTGCAATTTTGGTGTATAGTTGACATAAATCAAACGACCTGTTTTGACAGATAGAAAACGCGGATTTGAAACCTGGAATACCTCAAGGCTCGCAACCGATGCCATTTTTGCCCAATCGATAAAATTTTTATCATTTCAAATAGCTACGTTATTTCAGTAGATCGAATTCTAATTTTTTATTACTCTATTATTGTCATTAAATGGTGCTAGATATTCTGGAACTTCGATGGATTTAAAGTAGCTGTGTGTAGATGTTACAAATATATTCTGATCATTCATCATGTTTTTCTCAGTCCTATTTCCCGCCAATTTCCAGTCGTATTTTGCGCCAATTCGCAGTTATGATATCCCATCTCCTGTATATAATAATGGTTAAATCCTGGCGAATTATTTGCTATATTTATAATCAATGCTATATTTTACCGTACAGTACTATGTCCATATATAATATATTATGCCTTTGATATCAGAGTAGCATACAGATTTTGTAACTTCTTTAAAAAAATTTCTGAATGCTATAGGTGGAGTACTAGTATCTTTATTAACCCAAATGAAAATAACTTTCAGTCTTCTGTATTTAGAGATTCCTGTTTCTTATATCCTGAATCTTGGTCTTGACCTTGTCTTTCATTCCGCGTTTTAGAAATTCCGTTGGTAATCGATATTATATTTCATACAATCACTGCATGACAGTGCATGTCTGGGCAAAGTTTTAAAGCAAGCGATACATATCTTTGAGACTGTGTTTAATACCTGCCTTGCAATCAACAGCGTCCCAAACAAAGCACAACCTCCTTCAGTTTCCAGGAGAAATGGCGAGGAGAAGTTCATTTGGAGGCTACGATGAGGAAAGATTCGTAAATAAAGTCGACGATAGGTTACTTTGTCCGATCTGCTTCAAGGTGGTCAAAGACCCAGTGCGATGCCCGAACGAACACCATTTTTGTCGCTCGTGTATTCAAAAGTGTTTGAACGAAACCTCCGAAACCTGTCCAACATGCCAACACCATCTCACGGAAGAAACCTTGGCTAAACCAACGAGATTTTTTATGGAAACGTTGGAGCGTCTCAAGATTCGTTGCGATCACGCAAGCCGTGGTTGTCGAGAATTGGTCGAGCTTGAATTTCTCGATCGGCATGTCGAGAAATGTGGCTATTCACCAACACGTTGTACAAACACGGGCTGTTCTGAAGTCGTCAACCGAAACGAGCAAGAACAACATGAGAACGAACTTTGTTGTTTTCGTATCATTGTCTGTTACGAGTGCGGAGAAAATGTGATTTGGAAATCTAAACGTGTCCACCCTTGCTTTATCAGAAAGGAAACGGACGATTTGGTAAACAATTTGAAAGAATTTAGGCTGGCTCAAGACGAGTTTAATTGCAAGTTGTTGGCCGATGTTGCCCGTCAAAATGTTGTCATTGATGATCTACGCCGTAGAAACGAGGAAATGAAATCCATCGCAAAGGAAGCGACCGACTGGTTCACTGGCAGACGAAAGATTTACGTCTGCGGAGGGCGTCTTGATAGGTGTAACCTCAGATCCGTGGAGTCGTTCAGTTGGCCTGAGAACGCGTGGACATTGGAACCAGCAATGAACGTCCGACGATCAGCTCCTGCATCATTTGTTTACCAGGGACAAATCAATGTATCTGGCGGGTGTTTTGAAGGCGATGATACTGACGTCATCGAAAGACTGGACGTCGGAAAAGACAAAAAAAAATGGACCGAGTCTTTAGTCAAAATGCCAATTAAGTGCAGCGCGCACGGAATGGTTTCCCACAAAAATACAGCGATTTTAACCGGTGGATGTGTTGGGGAGAACATTGTTTCTGATGGGATCTACGAAATTGAACTAACTCCCCCATACACAACGAAATTATTGACCCAGTTACCAGAGAGAAGATGTTTACATGGTTGTCAGATTATTGACAACGAGGTCGTGGTTGTTGGTGGACAGACGTCGACTTATCACAAGGATGCAACAGCCACTGTGTATGCATACGATATTAACAATAATGAATGCAAAACCCTGCCGCCATTGCCATTTCCTATCGCTGCTATGGCTACTGTTAGTTATGAAGGTAATGTAGTTTTGATCGGAGGTGCTAATAAGCATGTCGATGCATTAAACACAGTGTTCATGTACGAAGTGAAAACTGGTAAATGTAAGGAGTTACCTCGTCTTAATCAGGAAAGAGCTGGATGTACAGCAGTTATTACTGGCAATATGATCATTGTTATGGGCGGGTGTTGTGAAACTAATAACTGTCTCAATTCAGTCGAGTGCTTAGATTTAAGTACCAATGAATGGAGAGAATTGTCACCAATGAAAAGGGGTCGATGTTATGCAGCAGCATCTCTTCATTCGTTGCACTAGAATATATCTTGTATTGAGCAATATATAAGAACAAAAACTTAGTAAGATTTCATGATTATTATTGTTACCTAACAAATTATGTAGCTAAGCTTTCATGTATTAATTTGTTTGATTCATATATAGGATATAATGTGCTGTATAGCTAACTAATAAAGTGAAGAAAATCGTAAACGAAGTGAATTTTAGACAACCAATGATAATTTCTGCAGCCATGGGATCAATGGTTCATAATTTTGTCAACAGGTTTCTCTGATTGTCGAGCCATCGATATTTGAACCTTTTTATGGCCTTTTTTGTTTTTTCTAAACATGACGTCCCTGTGAAACAAATACTTGTTAACTCTAGAGATTTTGCTTTTGCACAAAAAAGCTTGCCTTTCTACTTGAGCAAATAAGTTACGCACAATTGCTCTTTTAACTTTCCAAACAAAGGCCATATATTGCTAAAAAAATAATTCTCTGTATAATTTTCGGACAGCTTATTTTTAACCACCGAACGCATCTTAAGATGATATGCATAGCTACTGATGTTCCAAAGCTTATTCCATAAAGTGAATAAGTTCTTGTCTGAATGCTGCCATTTGTATGTATAATTCTAGGTTGGGAACCTACCCTACAGTGAAAATGTCCGTAAAGAATTCTTTAAAACAAAGTCGAATAATAATGATCTTGCATTCATACAAATTTTTTCTGTATTTCAGACTGATGTGACGATCAGTTATGTCAAACTTCACGCGGACCCGAAGTTGGGCAAGACATTGGACATAGGTATGAATAAATTAGAGATTTTAGCGACTGAAATCTTAGCGTGCATGTGATCAAAACATCCCTGCGAGTGACCAATGACAGGGCAGCTTGTAACCAATGACAGGACAGCTTGTATAGCATGTGATCAAAACATCACTGCTTGTAACCAATGAGAGGACAACTTGTATAGCATGTGATCAAAACATCGCTGCTAGTGACCAATGAAAAGACAGCTTGTTCACATGTTTTTTTTCCAGTTATGAAGAAGATGAAACATCGTGTGGTGGAACACATGAGCTCAGGAACAGCAGATGCGCTTGGTCTAAGCAGAGCTATCCTTTGCAATGGTAAAATATACCTTACGATATTAACCCACCACTTCAAATACAGTTGTGTATTCATTTCATATTCCCATTTCTTATTTTTCCTGTAAGATGGCTTGATAAAGAAGCTGGAGGAATTGCAGCAAAATTCGATGCTCTACAAAGGTATGTATCGTTGTAATTGAAGTGCTTAAGTGAAATGATAATTTCATATTCCAGACATAACATTCTTTGTTTACAGATCAGCGTTTACATGATTTAATGTTATCTTTTACATTCCCCAGGTCTGTTCGACCACACGAAACGCTATCTTCAAAGTTTCTACCAACTCGCGCAAACACATAAAGGTTGGACAGTCAGTTTTTTTTATATACGTATAGCTACTATCTTTTTTCTTGTTGTAATCAGAATGTTTGCATTTAATGTTATTTAGAATTGGGTAATATTTTCAGTTCTATTGGGGTACGAGAATTGCAACCAAACGCAAATGAAGCCTTTAGTATTTTCTCAACGGCACACAGGTAGATATAGAAATTACACTAATCATAAATGTCGTCAATTTTTCTATCAGTTTTTGCAAGTTTTGCATACACAACAGCATGTCGCTTTCACCATTTGTTCCTCGACATTACCGGTGTGAACAATATCAATTTTGCTTGTCTCATTTTCTTAAATGCAGCGCTAACATGATGTGGGACAGATGAAAAGCAACAGTTTTTAATATTTTTAGATCATTTGAAAAAATTGGAATGGATTTTCTTAAGAAAGTGAAACCGATGCTGAGTGACCTAAACACTTATCTCTCGAAGGTTATAAAAAAATCTTTAGTTTTGGCCTCCAATTCCACATCCTCCTCTCTTCTTGTAGAGTTTTTCATAGATGCTTCGGGCTGAATGAGTATAAACGAGAAGAGTCCTTATATTAGACTGACTTCAACGCTTACTTGTGTTTAAATAAGAACTTTTACGTGCTGTTGTTTTTTACAAAACATCTTGTTACGATATTCTTCCTTTCTGAGTAATTTTTCCTGATATTTTATCACCTAACCTCATGGTAAAAAAATATTTTGTTCTACAAAGGCAATTCCTGATACACAGTTGACCATAAAGAGATATGCTGATGCGAAGTTTGAATACCTCGTAAGGATCTTTTAATTGTAGTTGATATCTTATTCTCACATTTTTGACTGCCTTTTGGGCTCAAAACTTCAATATTTTTTTCTAGTCCTATTGCTTGAAAGTTAAGGAGCTCGACGATGAAGAATACGCGTATGCTGTGAGTATAAATTGTTTGAGTTTATATCAAATTGAACTTACACAACACATAAAGAAAGCTCCCCCAAGAAAAGTTATCAAAACTATACTCAATATACTAGGTATATCTCGCGCTCATAATTTAGCCAATCAGCACTCAGAAGGGTTGTCGAAATGGAAATCCATTTTGCAGTATTCAATCGATTATATCTTTCGTTCTTCTTTATCAAAGTAGTCGAAATTTTGTGATCATGTTTAGTTATAAGCACTTTTGCTCTGACATGAATTTCAAACTGAAATAAAGTATATTTCGAGAGATATGAAGTTCTTTCGACCGAGAAATGGACAAGTAGTCCTTTCCCGCCATTTCAGATCACCTGGAAATGATCATAAGTTCTTGATACATTTCTAACAGCAACTGAACGTATGGTAGTTTGTGGTTTATGTGAATTTTATCATTTCTCTTTATCAAGGCTTTGCACGAGGCTCTCTACCGTGTCGAGACCGGTAATTATGATTACAGGTAATGTTCACTCAAAATTTTAGTGTTCATGGTTTCTACGAAATCGGCCATGTTGGAATACACTTCGGAGTTCTGCTGTTAATTTAGACCATGAGAATTACGTATTTTCTTTATAATTTTACGGCAGACTTCGACCACCTTCGAAGTGAAAACCATCCATATGCATCTGATAACCAATTTTTAAGTCATCTAAAATCCAATTATTGTTGGTGGAATAATTTTTTAGAGTGGTGTTGCGATGTCGGCAGTTGGCGCGGGAGAAATTTGCCCGACTTCGCTCGGATGTGCTCGTCAAACTTGAATTACTCGATAATAAACACGGTAAGCATCGTCATATCTGAGGTTCCCTTTGGCCGGTTGTGATACCAGCAAGAATGATTTTCATTGGCTAAACTTTACAATACATTTCTGTTTCAACCAATAGCATAGCTTCGTTCTTTAGAAAGCATAGAAAAAAATTCTCCAATTGGACGAAAGCTTCCGAGAGCTGCGACATGTCTCCCTTGTAACCATAAAGTGTTTAAATTTTAGTTCAAGACATCGTATTTCAACTGCAACGGCTCGTTCAAGCCATGTCAAAATACCACCAGGAATGTTACAGTGAATTAAAGCAAGCTGACGTCTTTCCAATCGAGGTTGATCTCACGAAAGGTATTCTGGGTAGTGCTTTGCAGTGACGTCATTTACGGTGGCGGTCATGTAGCACTTCTTGGCGGATTGTCCGTCTTTTTTTGCATAGAAAAGGTGGATAATCCATCAAGATGTGCTGATACGTCCTGTTTGTCTCGAAGAATTACCTAGCTGGAACGATAGAACGGCGGGAAATAGGGGCGGCAAAAATTCCTTCGCTCTGTTTGCGTTGAAGTACTAAAAAAGAAAAAACATGGCTCTTTGGTAGCTTGTGCAAACATCGCGAAAGTAAACCAAAGTATTTGGTCGGTTGTATTAAATCTTTTATTAACTATAAAAAAATAATAATAATAATTTAGTATGCATGTACATTTAAACCATATCAAATAATACTGACTGTACTTAAACAAACCAGACTAACAAAATTAATGGAAATTAAGTTAAATCTTGCGTACATCAGAAGTGCCCGTAGTTTTTTAAATTAAATTTAATCGTTCACGGGAACTTTAGGCCGGCTTTCCACTGCACTCGGTTTGTCGAGTGGACCTAGCTGCTTCAGTCGAATTCTCGCGATTAAAATAATATCTGGGGAAAATGACGTACTCTCATCATCAGTTCCGCCGAGTGGAAATCCGCCTTTATGCCTGGTTCCTGTAAGTGTCGCGAACATGTCAAGGTGGCCGATGTGATAGAATATTTCTACGTGTGTGCAGTCAATAATGACAGGAATAGCTGTTAATAATAATACAGAAATAAAGATAGATTTGCAACCCGACGATTTCTTATCGGTGAAAATGACTTGTTCACGACAATTACAACAAAATGGAGACCAGGCTTTATAGACTGTGCTAACAGCGCCATGCGCTTATTCCCAGCAGATTTCTCGTGCGTTGATAGTAGCGAGTTTAAAATGCACCAAATCTACGACGCGGACGTGACAGGAAATCTGCTATTGGTGTTAGGAAACAAGTACTAATTTGTTTTACATACGGCTTTGACTTCGTTTATGAAAAGGTGTCTGTAATTTTCATTCCTGTTAGGAAACTGTGGATATTAAAGCGAGATAGAGAGTGAATCTTAAACTCGCTAGTATTTGTGAGGAATTCACTTTGCGAGTCTTTCTCGTGTGTGGATTGCTTTTATTTAGAGCATATCAACTACCTTCAATGCATGGTTTAGGGGCTGTTTACATGAGCCCGGTTACCCGAGATTCAACGAACCGTGAGATGATTTTGAGGCATTGAAATGAGCAGATAACATGATCCTGACAGTCGTATAATCGCCACAATAATAGCATGTGCTTGTTTGGTGTCATATATAGACTTATTTCAATACCTCAAAGTCCTCTCACGCTTCGTTGAACCTCGGGTAACCGGGCTCATGTAAACAGCCTTTAGCTCACAGGTCACCATTGTTTTCTTACGTAAAAGAAGAAATCAAAGGGCCGCCATGCAATGAAAATGTTTGGTTATTTATTTATTCAGTAAATTTCCAACGCATTAAAACAATAGATAATCAGCTGAGGTGCCTCGTTATCTTTTGCACATGAGAAGCAAGGCGTTTGAAACTGGTCAATTCAATTGTAAAAATACATACATAACTTGTAGTCGAGAAAAGATTACAAAAATAGTTCAGGAGTATTTGCTACTAAGTTTGCACCAAAGATATATATAATAGATGCAGTATATGTATTTGGGGAAATACCAAACTTTGGAAACCAGAGGAAGCGGTTAAATCTTGCCTAAACTATTTACCATTTGAAGTCGAAACTTGAAAATGACCAAACACTTGTGGTGAACGGAACGACGGTTTATCAGAACGAAGTCCACAGCATGTTGGTTCCCGTCGATGATCTCACGGTAAGCTGTACTTAAATCATTTTGTCGACTGAGAATAAAAAATAATCACGGGATGTTTTATTGTCTTTAAATTTAACGAGTTTTAACAACAATTGAATCGGTGGTATTTGCCCATAGGCATAACCGGGGTATTCTCGTGCTGAAATCTATACGTTTAAAGCTCAACTCGCATGAAATTTAAGCGTATAAAGCAGTAAAAATTGAGTTTTGTCTGATTGTTAGATAACTAACACAGGCGAAACTTCTAAAGCAACATAGAAAGTTTTTACAGAATCACATCATGTTTCGGGCTTGTGATATATTGTCTGAGAGAAATATTCCTTTCCGCCATCTTGGATTCATGCAGATATGCGTGTACAACACGTGGGGATCATGTGAACATTTTTTGTTAAACGCGTGGATTAAATTGATGTAAATCTTCCGCCTCAATAACTATGTTTGAATTTAAACTTGAAAGAAGTCCTATCCTATGAAGTGAACCAAATATTGAATCAATATCTTGAGAACTACCAACATTTCCGGCAAAAACATTTCAAATAATTTATTGCAGAAAAAACAAAATCTTTAACAAAACAGAATCCAACCTATATGCACCTATTCACTCGAAGATTATATAATTAGTATAATTTAAGTGATTTTAAACTTTTATGTGCGTGTATATTATACGTACGTACAAAAAACGCGACAATGGAAAGCAGCCCTAAAGCAGCAACCCTTCAACACCTACGTAGTTGATTTCCAGGAGGTTGTTTATTATATTTACAATATATAGACTTAAGAATATACATTAGTACAAAATCACACACGAACTAATAGTAATAACGTACACAGGAAGTGTTGTCAATTAGTGAAATATTCGCAGGACAAAGACTGTATTGCGTGAAATATGTATGAAAATTATCATGTATAGAAATATGTACTGAAGGGATTCACACATTTGCGGTGTGAGAGTCGAATCGACTGATATATACGTTGCTTTATATAGTAGGACGAACTGTTTTACTCCATTGGCATTCCACCATAATTATAACCTATACTTTTTTCATGTTATTCGTTTTGGATTTTCATTAACTTGGGAAAGGTTTATTTCTTTGTTTGGCCATTCAAAAGTTAAGAGATAAGAATTAAGCATGGCGACCTAACGACGACGGCTAAAATATACTAAAAAAAATAGTTGAAATATACCTCTGGTATGTTTACTTATCAATCCTATTAAATTAGAACAATGATAAAATTAGGGACATCGTTTAAAAGCTGGGGCAACTTTCAGTAGACCGAATTTGAATTTGCACGTGTTAGGGCTTTGAATGATACTGCATGGGAGCTTTGTATAGGGAATTTAAGTGAAACCTCGATAGAAAGCGATTTTCTAAGTAGAACTATAAGTGTGTACTTGAAACTTTGGCTTGGCGATAGCGCTACAAATGTTATTTCGTGACAATTCTATTGACATGTGATTACTACGCGTGGTTGCCTGTTTTAAACGTCCAACACGAACAAAAACACCTTCAAAGCCAAAGGTCTAGTTGGTGCACTTCGTGAAACTGAGTGACTTTTGCAAGGAGAGTGTTATTTTTATGATTCATACTGATTCTTTTCAAAAACTGATGAGAGATACTTGTCAATATAAAGTAATTCTGAAAACTTGTTTAATATATAAAGAGATGCATTTATGCATATTTTCTTCATTCACCTTCGTCGCCCTGAAATAATTTCAGTTGTGACCCACAAAAGATCGCAGTTGGATATCAATGCTATCTGAAGTGGTCAGATGACAGGACGTCAAATAGATCCAATTTTTTTTATAACAAGAGACCTTTGAGTCAAGGTAATTGCAAGTCTGTCTTGAATACAACGGCATCGAACACGACACTGCGCGAAAGATTTCTTCAATCAATTTCTTTCATACAAAATGGCGAATATTTCATTTGGAGGCTACGATGACCAAAGGTTCGTAAGCCAAGTCGAAAATAGGCTATTTTGTCCGATATGCGAAAAGGTTTTTAAAGACCCAGTGTTATGCCCAAACGAACATTACTTTTGTCGCTCGTGTATTCTGAGGTCTTTGCGGGAAACCTCCGAAACCTGTCCAAAATGTCGACAACATCTCACGGAAGACACCTTGGCCACACCGACAAGATTTTTTTTGGAAACGTTAGAGCGTCTCAGGATTCGTTGCGATCACGCAAGCCGTGGTTGTCGAGAAGTGGTCGATCTTGAATTTCTCGATCAGCATGTCAAAACCTGTGGCTTTTCGCCAACACGTTGTACAAACACGGGCTGTTCTGAAATCGTCGACCGAAACGAGCAAGAACGACATGAGAACGAACTTTGTCGCTTTCGTGGGATTATCTGTGACGAGTGCGGAGAGGAAGTCATATGGAAGTCGAGAGCTGTTCATATCTGCTTCATACGAAAGGAAATAGATGATTTAGTCAACGAAAAAAAGGGTCAAGACGAGTTGAATCGCAAGTTGATAGCCGATATTGCCCGTCAAAATGTTGTCATTGATGTTCTACGCCGTAGAAACCGAGAAGTTGAATTTATTGCAAAGGAAGCGACCGAGAGGTGCGACTTGTTTTCTGGCATGCGGAAAATTTACGTCTTCGGAGGGCGTGACGATAATCGTATACCAATTAATTCGGTAGAGTCGTTTAGTTGGCCTGAAAACGCCTGGGCATTGGAACCAGGAATGAACGTGCCGCGATCAACGGCTGCAGCATTTGTTTACCAGGGACAAATCTTCGTGACTGGTGGACGGATTGAATCTTCGGGGTGCGCCGACAGCATTGAGGAATTAAACTTCGGGGAAGACAGAAAGGAATGGGTCGAGTCTGACATCAAGATGCCAATCAAATGTAACGGTCATGGATTGGTTTGCCATGAAAATATCGCGATTCTCACCGGCGGTCATGCCGGGGATAACGTGTCTGATGAGATTTACAAAATAGAACTTACTCCCCCATACACGACCAGGCTATTGACCCAGTTGCCAGAGGAAAGATGTTTCCATGGTTGTCAGATTGTTGACAACGAAGTCGTGGTCGCTGGTGGACGGACATCGTCATGTCTCGCAGACACTAAAAACACTGTATATGCATACGATATTAACAATAATGGGTGCAAAACCCTGCCGCCACTGCCATTTCCTATCTCTGATATGGCTTGTGTTAGTTATAGAGGTAATATAATTTTGATTGGAGGTTATAACGAGAAAGGCGAAACATTGAACACCGTATTCATGTACGAAGTGAAAACAGGTAAAATTAAGATGTTACCTTGTCTTAATCATAAAAGATCTGCATGTACAGCAGTTATCACTGGTAATGTAATCATTGTTGTCGGCGGATATGTTCATGAAACTAAAACTAATCTAGATTCAGTCGAGTGCTTAGATTTAAGCACCAATGTATGGAAAGAATTATCTCCAATGTTAGAGCAGCGTGGTTGCACAACTGCAGTTCTGCACTAAACGTTTAATGCTGATGAACATGACGTATAGAAACTGATTAAATAATAGTATATCATTAGACAGGTTAATTAGGCATTCATATAGAATATAAGATTCATACTGATTGTGCTAATGTATCCCTCTATTAGTAACTATTCGTAAGGTAGATGTATTATTCAATAACTGTAATTATTTCTTGTGTATGACATTCGTTGTTGTCTGTTGTAGTTTTTTCCAAGACAGATAGTCCCGTCAAAAAAAAATTGAGAATAATGCCAAAAAACACATTCATTAATAATTTTAGCATTTAATCTAGCTATTTTAGAAAATGCTATTATTTCAAACAGAACGTCAGAACATAGTTTTCGGTGAAAAATCTTATGCCTTCTTTTCGCGATCTGATTAATGGCGGGAAAGGACTGGGGCTAGTTGTGAAACAAAAATCCATTTCTCTTCATTTCAGTTTTTAGTTCCTGGGGCTAGTTGTATGAAAGACTAGTTAACTGATGGTGGGGGTCTACCCGAAATTGGAGATTTCGAGCTGTTCTAGTTGGCCAGCTTATTGCTCGCCATCTATTACTGCTAACTGCATAAAACTAGATATCACCAGAAACAAGGATTTTAAATATAATTTTATTCCCATACCTTAATTATTTACATCTATAATATATTTTCAAAGATAAGTATTGGCTTCTCGAGAATAAGCTTATGCTTGAGAAAAGATAGCTCTTCATGGATGCATATGAATTTTACTCCAATGAGCTTTTTGTGGATCACAATGCAAGTAGATTGAAATGAGCGATAGATTTTGGATATTGCAAAAGTTCTTATACAACATCATTCCAAAGTATTCGCAGAATAAAATATCGAAATTTCAAAAGTTTTTCGTCTCTCAAATGGTGGGAATACACCCTATGCCAAATTCTATTGATCATTTCAAGTTGAGCTCTACCATCACTGAAAATTTCAGCCAAATTGGTTGAATTTTTGTTGAGATATCTTTTCTCTGGGGTAGTTTGTCAGCGTCATTATATGATTACAACTAGCAAGAGGGTATAATTAAATGTACTGATATTTTTGCTCTCGTATGTAAGTAGCAGGCGGGAGAGAGTCGGGCAGCTGCGGGCAATTGCAACGAAAACTACACACAATTCAAGTAGCTTAGAATTAAATAAATTACATGGGTGTATATAACAATTTAACAAATTTAACAACTAGCACAATTCAAGTTTAACATTCCTTCGATAAACTCATGAATAAGCGTTTTCGTTGTTAATAGCTTTGCGTACCACTCCTCCATCTACAGTTTTACCACAATCTTCCTATATATTTTGATAAGGAATGCGTTGGGTTTTCCCAGTAACCCACAGACACCCACGCAAATTCGGCGACTAATTGATGAATTCCAGGAAAACACGAAGTGATGATCAGGAGTTCCTCAATTTTCCCGGAAAATAGAATGTTTATGAATAAATACTATATTATTGTTATTATACAAATGAAATGCTGTTCGGTACCATGTCACATTACTCGCAGTGTTTTTTTGCCTAAAATATCGCATCTCCCGACATATTCTGAAGGAAAAGGATAAAACTCAGGGCCATATTCAATTTATGTTCAAGAATTCCTGGTGTCCCATTCCGCGTTTTAGAAACAACCGTGTGCAATCGATACGGCTCCCTGTCAGGTGTCATGTTACATTTTATCATCTGCGTACTCGTCTATATTTTGCAATCCAAACAATGCATTTTTAATTTGAGGCAAGGCCTTGAACTTTATTGATATCTGTTTTCAAAACATCATACATGAACACATAAAATGGCGAGCTCATTTGGAGGTTACGATGACGAAAGATTCGTGAATAAACTCGACGATAGGTTACTTTGTCCGATTTGCTTCAAGGTGGTCAAAGACCCAGTGCGATGCCCGAACGAACACCATTTTTGTCGCTCGTGTATTCAAAAGTGTTTGAAGGAAACCTCCGAAACCTGTCCAACTTGCCAACACCATCTCACGGAAGAAACCTTGGTTAAACCAACGAGATTTTTTATGGAAACGTTAGAGCGTCTCAAGATTCGTTGCGATCACGAAAGCCGTGGTTGTGGAGAAGTGGTCGAGCTTGAATTTCTTGATCGGCATGTTGAGAGATGTGGCTATTTACCAACACGTTGTACAAACACGGGCTGTTCTGAAGTCATCAACCGAAACGAGCAAGAACGACATGAGAACGAACTTTGTCGTTTTCGTATGATTGTCTGTGACGAGTGCGGAGAAACTGTGATTTGGAATTCTAAACGTGTCCACCCTTGCTTTATCAGAAAGGAAACGGACGATTTGGTAAACAATTTGAAGGAATTTAAGCTAGCTCAAAACGAGTTGAATCGCAGGTTAATGGACGATGTTGCCCGTCAAAATGTTGTCATTGATGATCTACGCCGTAGAAACCGGGAAGTCGAATGTATTGCAAAGGAAGCGAACGAGAGGTGCGACTTGTTTTCTGGCATGCGAAAGATTTACGTCTGCGGAGGGCGAGAGAAAAAGTTTCGCCACAGATCCGTAGAGTCTTTCAGTTGGCCTGAGAATTCCTGGAGACTAGAACCAGAAATGAGCCTGATCCGATCAGCTCCTGCAGCATTTGTTTACCAGGGTGAAATTTATATAACTGGCGGTTCGAATGGAACTGAGTTTACGGATAGCGTCGAAAGGTTGAATGTAGTGAAGAACATGAAAAAATGGGTCAAGTCCACTGTCAAAATGCCTGTCAAATGCAACGGTCACGAAATGGTCAGTCACGAAAATACTGCAATTTTGACTGGTGGACTAATTGACAAAAACAACGCTTCTGATGGGATTTATAAAATTGAACTAACTCCCCCATACACGACGACGTTATTGACCCAGTTGCCAGAGATAAGAAGTTACCATGGCTGTCAGATTATTGACAACCAAGTCGTTGTTACTGGTGGACGGACATCAAACTACATCAACGACAATAAAAACACTGTGTATTCATACGATATTAACAATAATGAATGCAAAACTCTGCCGCCACTGCCATTTCCTATCTCTGATATGGCTACTGTTAGTTATAAAGGTAATATAATTTTGATCGGAGGTGTTAACCAGAGAACGGAATCATTGAACACAGTATTCATGTACGAAGTGAAGACAGGTAAAATTAAGGAGTTACCTCGTCTTAATCATAAAAGAGCGGGAAGTGCAGCAGTTATCAGTGGCAATATAATCATTGTTATGGGTGGGCATGATTGTAAAATCGTAACATGGCTGAAATCTGTCGAGTGCTTGGATTTAAGTATGGAGAAGAGTGAATGGAGAGAATTGCCACCAATGACGAGGGAGAGAGGTTATGCATCTGCAGTTCTTCTTTAAACGCATTAAACAAGATTCATTTGAAAAAAATTAAGAACAAAAGTAACTCAGTGAAGTATTGCTATATATATGACTTAGCGAAATAGTAAAATCCTTTGTTTCAATTTATACGATTGGAATACTAGATAATCATACCATGGCGAGTACAATTCGGGATTACTAGCTAGTTAGTGTCCAGAATGCTTTGTCTCCGAAACTACGTTGTCCTCGACAAGTCACAAGTTGAATAATAATAAAGATATTTATCATAGTTTGAATGACACGTTTAACAAAATCACAAAGTCTTGCTCACACCTTATCGCAATCGTGGCCACCGTCACACTAACACCATTCCCTTGTTCGATTGGATTGAAATAACTTAATTTTCCTCGTAATGGACCTTTAGCGTAATAGAGCAACTTTTGTCAACTATTAATACCCTCTTGCTAGTTGTAATCATATACTGACGCTGACAAACTGCCCCAGAGAAAAGATATCTCCACAACAGTTCAACCAATTTGGCTGAAATTTTCAGTGATGGTAGAGCTCGACTTGATAAGTGAAATGAGCGATAGAATTTGGTATAGGGTGTATTCCCACCATTTGAGAGATGAAAAACTTTTAAAATTTCAATATTTTATTTTGCGAATATTTTGGAATGATGTTGTATAAAAACTTATTGCAATATCAAAAAATCTATCGCTGATTTCGATCTACTTGCATCGTGTTTCATTGCAAAATTGAGTTGCATCCATGAAAAACTCTCCTTTTTCAAGCATAAGCCCTATTTTCAGGAAGAATAATTATCTTTGAAAGTATATTATATATAGGTGTAAATCATTAAGGTATGGGAATAAAATTATTATATTTGAAGTCCTTGTTTCTGGTGATATCTAGTTTTATGCAGTTAGCAGTAATAGATGGCGAGCAATAAGCTGGCCAACCAAAACAGCACGAAATCTCCAATTTCAGGTAGACCCCCACCTTAATAGCTTTGCGTACCAGTCCTCCATCTACAGTTTTACCACAATCTTCCCATATATTTTGATAAGAAATGCGTTGGGTTTTCCCAGTAACCCACAGACACCCACGCAAATTCAGCGACTGATGAATTCCAGGAAAACACGGAGTGATGATCAGGAGTTCCTCAATTTTCCCGGAAAATAGAATGTTTATGAATAAAATCAATACTATATTATTGTTACTCTTAACAAATGCTATTCGGTACCACTTCACATTTACAGTGGTTTTTTCCTATAATATCGCATCTCCCGACATATTGAGAAGGAAAAGGGTAAAACTCAAGGTCATATTCCATGTTCAAGAATTCCTGGTTCCTGGTGTCCCATTCTGCGTTTTAGAAACAACCATGTGCAATCGATACGGCTTCCTGTCAGGTGTCATATGACATTTTATCATCTGCGTACTCGTCTATATTTTCCAATCCAAACGATGCATTTTGAATTTGAGACAAGGCCTTGAACTTTATTAATATCTGTTTTCAAAAAGCCATACATGAACACATAAAATGGCGATCTCATTTGGAGGTTACGATGAGGAAAGATTCGTGAGTAAACTCGACGATAGGCTACTTTGTCCGATCTGCTTCAAGGTGGTCAAAGACCCAGTGCAATGCCCGAACGAACACCATTTTTGTCGCTCGTGTATTCTGAGGTGTTTGAACGAAACTTCCGAAACCTGTCCAACTTGCAATCACTATCTCACGGAAGAAACCCTCGCCAAACCAACGAGATTTTTTATGCAAACGTTGGAGCGTCTCATGATTCATTGCGATCACGCAAGCCGTGGTTGTCGAGAAGTGGGCCAGCTTGAATTTCTCGATCGGCATGTCGAGAGTTGTGGCTATTCACCAACACGTTGTACAAACACGGGCTGTTCTGAAGTCATCAACCGAAACGAGCAAGAACGACATGAGAACGAACTTTGTCGTTTTCGTAGGATTGTCTGTGACGAGTGCGGAGAAACTGTGATTTGGAATTCTAAACGTGTCCACTCTTGCTTTATCAGAAAGGAAACGGACGATTTGGTAAACAATTTGAAGGAATTTAAGCGTTCTCAAGACGAGTTGAATCGCAAGTTGGTGGCCGATATTGCCCGTCAAAATGTTGTCATTGATGATCTATGCCGTAGAAACCGGGAAGTGACCGAGAGGTGCGACTTGCTTTCTGGCATGCGAAAGATTTACGTCTGCGGAGGGCGGGATGAAAAGCTTCGCCACAGATCCGTAGAGTCTTTCAGTTGGCCTGAGAATTCCTGGAAACTAGAACCAGAAATGAACCAGATCCGATCAGCTCCTGCAGCATTTGTTTACCAGGGTGAAATTTATATAACTGGCGGTAAGAATGGAACTGAGTTTACGAATAGCGTCGAAAGGTTGAATGTAGTGAAGAACAAGAAAGAATGGGTCAAGTCCGCTGTCAAAATGCCTGTCAAATGCAACGGTCACGGGATGGTCAGTCACGAAAATTCTGCAATTTTCACTGGTGGACTAATTGACAAGCACAACGCTTCTGATGGGATTTATAAAATTGAACTAACTCCCCCATACATGACGACGTTATTGACCCAGTTGCCACAGATGAGAAGTCACCATGGTTGTCAGATTATTGACAACCAAGTCGTGGTTGCTGGTGGACGGACATCAAACTACATCCACGACAGTAAAAACACTGTATTTGCATACGATATTAACAATAACGAATGGAAAACCCTGCCGCCGCTGCCATTTCCTATCTCTGATATGGCTACTGTTAGTTATAAAGGTAATGTAATTTTGATCGGAGGTGTTAACCAGAGAACGGAATCATTGAACACAGTATTCGTGTACGAAGTGAAAACAGGTAAAATTAAGGAGTTACCTCGTCTTAATCATAAAAGAGCGGGAAGTGCAGCAGTTCTCACTGGCAATATAATCATTGTTATGGGTGGGTATGACTATAAAACCATAACATGGCTGAAATCTGTCGAGTGCTTGGATTTAAATATGGAGAAGAGTGAATGGAGAGAATTGCCACCAATGACGAAGGAGAAGGCTTATGCATCTGCAGTTATTCTTTAAACGCATTAAAGAACATTTATTTGATAAAAAAAATTAAGAACAAAAACTCAGTGAAGTATTGCTAGATATATGACTTAGCGAAATAGTTAATCCTTTGTTTCAATTTATACGATTGCAATACTAGATAATCATACCATAGCGAGTATAATTCGGGATTACTAGCTAGTTAGTGTCCAGAATGCTTTGTCTCCGAAACTACGTTGTCCTCGACAAGTCACAAGTTGAATAATAATAAAGATCTTTATCATAGTTTGAATGACACGTTTAACAAAATCTCGCTCACACCTTATCGCAATCGTGGTCACTGTCACACTGACACCATTCCCTTGTTCGATTGGATTGAAGTAACTTAATTTACCTCGTAATGGACCTTTTGCATAATAAAGGCAATTTTGTATATTTTTTTACTACGGCCGGAAGTGTGTAACTAAATTAGTTAAACGCTCTCGGCCGTAGTAAAAAAATATACAAGATTGGCTACTTTGCATGGCTATATTTTCCGTAATACTTGACATTTTGCGACCAAACTTGGCTATTATACTAATTTCAGTACGCTCTTTTTAGCTGTGGTGATTTATTTCCTTCTTGTTGCCTAGATCATAAGTTGGTCTATTATGCAAGAGTCCATTAATCCCTACTCAAATCACTTACTAAGGCTACATCTACATTTATAGAGTCGGTAAACTTCTTGCAAATATCACACCAACTTTAAAAAATCTACAGAAACTAGTAATTTATTTACAAGTATTGAAAACGAGTAGATAGTAACTTAAAAATAAGGTAACTTAGACTTAAAAATGTTCACTGAATCCACACTAACAGTGTCACTAGGAAGGCTTTTCCACAGTGGCGTAGCCAGGGTAGAAAATTTGGGGAGGCGACCAGTGAGTGGGGAAGCCACAAACTATCGGGGGGGGGGGTCCGGGGGAAAATTTGGGATTTCTAAGGCTTGACGCCATTTCCCGCACTCTGATACGAGCTTTTAAAAGTAATCGTAAGGTTACAAATCACAAAATTCTGTCAATATTACATTAGATCAACGAATAATACACGTTAAAATCTCTTTAGATTTACTGATTACTCGTTGCTTACCTAACTTGATCTCCCCTCCTCATATTCCGCTGGATTTAAACATTTCATGAGAACGGTTTTAAAGACCATTGGGGGGGCGACCGCCCCCCCTTGCCCCCCCTTGGCTACGCCCCTGCTTTTCCACTGCCTGATTGTTCTTGGGAAAAAAGAGTTGAAATATACGTTCTCAGTAGCCTTGTCAGGCCTATATCTGTAGTCATGGCTACTCCGAGTTCTTCGCTCGGTACTGGGCCAAAGGTAAAGATAAAAGATCGGTATCAATATCAATTTGATGTCGACTCATTTTGTGAAGTAAGGTAATTCTTGCTGAAACTCTCCTAGCCTCTAGACTACACCACCCTAGCTCATTGAGCATATTGGTGACACTAGCTGTGGGCTGGTAGTTATTAGAGAAAAACGTGTTGCTTTTCTTTGCATTCGCTCAAGGAGAGCAATATCCGATAACATTGTATCTACAGAACAGAATTTCCGAGTAAAAATAAACATGTTTATTTATATTTTTCTTCAAGTAAACTTCAGTTGCGGGAAAAGTGGTTAGAAGATGTATTGAATATACAATCTGATATTAATATATAAACATTAAACCGTTCTCAGTTGATAATCTCAGCATGTATAGGTTGCACTTTGGACCACTAACCAGATTTGACGAAGGAAAATAACTTAAGTGGATATATTCATATGAAACATTATTAAATCTTTCTGGAATTAGAATTCCGGGTATTTTTAAAAGCTAAGCGTATTGTCCGCATTCATTTTGGCTGCTAACCCTTAGTAAAAAACCTGCACTGTGCATGGCATTGATGTTCTCGGACTGAAGATCGGAAGAATCATAATTTTCGGCCGAATAAAATGTTTATGAATAAATACGTATTTATCATTGTTACTTTTCAACAAAGAGCGCTTGGTACAATTTCACTGTCGTACTTTGCCTAGCAACCTCGTTCCCAGGGGCCTAGCAGCTCATTTGCCGTGATATGGACGATGTTTTTACTTTTAAGCGAAATTGACGAGAAATTCCGGCGAGTCATATTCAACTTGTATTCAGGGGGTTTCTGGTTTCCCATTCCGCGTGGCTCCGTTGACTTACGACGACTTCCTTTTCTGTGGTCATGTGGTATCTTATGACATAAACAGTCTGGTGTCGTCCATATTTTGCATTCAAACAATCAAAATCCTTCTAAGACAAAGGTTTTTATTACTTTTCAACAAACAATGATATTAAACACATAGCGAATGCTTTTATTATTCTGTTTCGACGAGAAATAGCGAGTTCATTATTTGGAGGTTACGACGAGGAAGGATTTGTAGATAAAGTCGATGCTAAGCTGCTTCTCGGTCCGATCTTGCATTGTAAATATTTAAACTACTTGAATTGTGTGTATTTTTCGTTGCCATTGCCCCCAGCTGCCCGACTCTCTCCCGCTTGCGCTGCTACTTTAGGCCTTTTTACAATTTCTCTTGCGACTTGCAGTGCAATTCTACTTTTTAGAGATGTTTATTTGGGAACATATTTAATTCATGTTCAAGAATTCCTGGTTCCTGGTGTCCCATTCCGCGTTTTAGAAACAGCTGTGTGCAATCACAGCAATCGATACGGCTTCCTGTCAGGTGTCATGTGACATATCATGTGCGTACTCGTTGTACTTTGTATTTTGCAACCAAAACAAAGCATTTTCAATTTGAGACAAGGCCTTGAACTTTAATAATATCTGTTTTCAAAAAACCATACATAAACACATAAAATGGCGAGCTCATTTGGAGGTTACGATGACGAAAGATTCGTGGATAAACTCGACGATAGGTTACTTTGTCCGATCTGCTTCAAGGTTGTCAAAGACCCAGTGCGATGCCCGAACGAACACCATTTTTGTCGCTCGTGTATTCAAAAGTGTTTGAACGAAACCTCCGAAACCTGTCCAACTTGCCAACACCATCTCACGGAAGAAACCTTCGCCAAACCAACGAGATTTTTCATGGAAACGTTGGAGCGTCTCAAGATTCGTTGCGATCACGAAAGCCGTGGTTGTCGAGAAGTGGTCGAGCTTGAATTTCTCGATCGGCATGTCGAGAGATGTGGCTATTCACCAACACGTTGTACAAACACGGGCTGTTCTGAAGTCATCAGCCGAAACGAGCTAGAACGACATGAGAACGAACTTTGTTGTTTTCGTAGGATTATCTGTGACGAGTGCGGAGAACAAGTGATATGGAAGTCGAGAGCTGTCCATATCTGCTTCATGCGGAAAGAAATCGATAATTTAGTCAAAGAAAGGAAGGAATTAAAAGAGAAAGAACTGGCTCAAGATGAGTCTATTCAAAAGTTGAAGGCCGACATTGCCCGTAAAAATGTTGAAATTGATTATCTACGCCGTAGGAACCGGGAAGTGGAATGTATTGCAAAGGAAGCGACCGAGAGGTGCGACTTGCTTTCTGGCATGCGAAAGATTTACGTCTGCGGAGGGCGGGATGAAAAGCTTCGCCACAGATCCGTAGAGTCTTTCAGTTGGCCTGAAAATTCCTGGACACTAGAACCAGAAATGAACCTGATCCGATCAGCTCCTGCAGCATTTGTTTACCGGGGTAAAATTTATATAACTTGCGGTTCGAATGGAACTGAGTTTACGGATAGCGTCGAAAGGTTGAATGTAGTGAAAAACATGAAAAAATGGGTCAAGTCCTCTGTCAAAATGCCTGTCAAGTGCAACGGTCACGGAATGGTCAGTCACGAAAATTCTGCAATTTTCACTGGTGGACTAATTGACAAAAACAACGCTTCTGATGGAATTTATAAAATTGAACTAACTTCCCCATACACGACGACGTTATTGACCCAGTTGCCAGAGATGAGAAGTCACCATGGTTGTCAGATTATTGACAACCAAGTCGTTGTTGCTGGTGGACGGACATCAAACTACTGCAAGGACACTAAAAACACTGTATTTGCATATGATATTAACAATAATGAATGCAAAACCCTACCACCACTGCCATTTCCTGTCTCTGAGATGGCTACTGTTAGTTACAGAGGTAATATAATTTTGATCGGAGGTGTTAACGAGAAAGGCGAAACATTGAACACAGTATTCATGTACGAAGTGAAAACAGGCAAAATTAAGGAGTTACCTCGTCTTAATAATCAAAGAGCAGCAAGTGCAGCAGTTATCACTGGCAATATGATCATTGTTATGGGTGGCTATTACTATAAAACCATATGGCTAAAAATTGTCGAGTGCTTGGATTTAAGTATAGAGAAGAGTGAATGGAAAGAATTGCCACCAATGACGAAGGAGAGGGCTTATGCATCTGCAGTTCTTCTTTAAGACATTGAAACAACATTCATTTGAAAAAAATTAGGGTCAGTGAAGTATTGCTATGTATATGACTTAGCGAAATAGTTAAATCCTTTTGTTTCAATTTATACGATTAGAATACTAGATAATCATTCTATGGCGAGTACAATTCGGGATTAATAATTAGCACGAGTGATGTTTGATCATTTTGGAACTTTATTGGAGCATTTCCGACCATGTCTTTGAAAGCGATAACGTTGTTTCTACAGAACAGAATTTCCGAGTAAAAATAAACATGTTTATTTATATTTTTCTTCAAGTAAACTTTAGGGGCGGGAGAAGTGGCTGGAAGAAGTATTGAATAAAATCTGATATTAATATATAAACATTAAACCGTTTTCAGTTGATAATCTCAGCATATCTATAGGTTGCACTTTGGACCACTAACAAGATTTGACGAAGGAAAATAACTTAAGTAGATATATTTATATAAAACAATATTAAATCTCTCGGGAATTGGAATTCCGGGTATTTTTAAAAGCTAAGCGCATTGTCCGCATTCATTAGGGCTGCTAACCCTTATATAGTAAAAGGCGCTAGACCACAAAGAGTATGCGTGCATGAGTTGTTCCAAAGAAACTTGGACTGTGACAAACCGCATTCCGTAATAAAATACATGAGAATAGTCTGTCATACAAGAAAAAACAGACTTTGAAAAATGACATCTTGCATGTAAAGTCAAGATATATGAGCTACAGACCACCAGACAAAATTTATTTAAAGATGATATTTCGACTTTATATCACCTTAAAATTTTGTCTTGTTGTCTATAGCTCATATCTTGGGTTTACAATATGTCATTTTTGGAGTATGTTTTTCTTGTATTTATCAAATTGTCTGCTGGTAATGGTTTTTATAGTATTTCATATTGAATGCTATTCCATATAACTACGGCACTCTAAACGTTTGAGCAATACTATTACTTCTGTGTTGGAACGCTGTTTGAGTTCAGCTGGTTAAATCCTCGTGCGCAGGAAAGAAAGTTTGAAAATACTGCATGAAGTTAATGATCTAGTAGTTTTCGTATTTACTTACGAAGGTCAATAAGATTTATTTCGTCGGAAAAACCCATATACACCGACCTTCATGTGACATTTGTTTGTCTGAAAAATTTCCGCAACAGATTATAACCTGCATCTGCCCGACTCCCTCCCGTTCGCCCGCTAGCAACACATGAGAGAAAAACCTGCACTATGGCATTGATGTTCTCGGACTGAAGATCGGGAGAATCGTAATTTTCGCCCGAGTAAAATGTTTCTGAATAAATACGTATTTATTATTGCTACTCTTCGACAAAGAGCGCTCGGTACAATTTCACTGTCGTACTTTGCTTAGCAACCTCGTTTCCAGGGACCTAGCAGCTCATCTGCCGTGATATTGACGATGTTTTTACTTTTTACTTTTAAGCCAAATTGACGAGAAATTCCGAGTCATATTCAACTTATATTCCGGGGTTTCTGGTTTCCCATTCCGCGTTTTATTTCCGGATCCGTTGACTTACGACGACTTCCTTTTCTGTGGTCATGTGATATCATATGACATAAACAGTCTGGTGTCGTCCATATTTTGCATTCAAACTCTCAAAGGCTTTTATTACTTTTCTAAAAAACCACAATATTAAACACATAGCGAATGCCTTCATCATTCTGTTTCGACGAGAAATGGCGAATTCATTATTTGGAGGCTACGACGAGGAAAGATTTGTAGATAAATTCGATCCTAGACTACTTTGTCCGATCTGTTTCAAGGTGGTCAAAGACCCAGTGCAATGCCCGAACGAACACCATTTTTGTCGCTCGTGTATTCAAAGGTGTTTGAACGAAACCTCCGAAACCTGTCCAACTTGCCAACACCATCTCACGGAAGAAAACTTGGCAACACCAACGAGATTTTTTATGGAAACGTTGGAGCGTCTCAAGATTCGTTGCGATAACACATGCCGAGGTTGTCGAGAAGTGGTCGAGCTTGAATTTCTCGATCGGCATGTCGAGAGATGTGGCTATTCACCAACACGTTGTACAAACACGGGCTGTTCTAAAGTCATCACCCGAAACGAGCAAGGACGACATGAGAACGAACTTTGTCGTTTTCGTAGGATTGTCTGTGACGAGTGCGGAGAACAAGTGATATGGAAGTCGAGAGCTGTTCATATCTGCTTCATGCGGAAAGAAATCGATAATTTAGTCAAAGAAAGAAATAATCAAGACGAGTTTAATCGCAAGTTGTTGGCTGATATTGCCTGTCAGAACGTTGTCATTGAAGATCTACGTCGTAGAAACGAGGAAATGGGACATGAAATGAAAACCATGAGAGTAAACATGGAATATATTGCAACCGAAGCAACCGGAAGATGCGACTGGTTTAATGGATTTAAAAAGATTTATGTCTGCGGGGGACGTGATCTTAACGTTTTCCACAAATCCGTGGAGTCGTTTAGTTGGCCTGAGAACGCCTGGACATTGGAACAAGAAATGAACGTCCCGCGATCAACCCCTGTAGCATTTCTTTACCAGGGTGAAATACATGTAACTGGCGGTCGAATTGGGCTCATTGGAGCCGACTCTGTCGAATATACGGACAGCATTGAAAGTTTGAATGTCGGTGAGGACGATGAGGAATGGATCGAGTCTTCGGTCAAGATGCCAATCAAATGCAACGGTCATGGAATGGTTTGTCGTGAAAATACCGCGTTTTTTACTGGTGGCTGTGATGGGGACATTGGTTCTGATGGCATCTACGAAATTAAACTAACCCCCCCATACACGACAAAGTTATTGACCCAATTGCCAGAGAGAAGATGTTACCATGGTTGTCAGATTATTGACAACGAGATCGTGGTCGTTGGTGGAGGTGCAGGAAAATTCACAAACACCAATAAAAATACTGTGTATTCATACGATATTAACAATAACGAGTGTAAAACTTTGTCTCCACTGCCATTTGCTATCGGTAGCATGGCTACTGTTAGTTATAAAGGTAATGTAATTTTGATCGGAGGTGTTACCGAGGAAGGCGAAACATTGAACACAGTATTCATGTACGAAGTGAAAACAGGAAAAATTAAGACGTTACCCTCTCTTAATCATAAAAGAGCTGGATGTACAGCAGTTATCACTGGGAATATCATCATTGTTATGGGAGGTTGTAATTATGAGAGTGGGGAATATCTTAATTCAGTAGAGTGCTTAGATTTGAGCACGAATGTGTGGATTGAACTAGCCCCAATGAAAAAGAAACGAGCTTGGTTAACTGCAGTTTTAAAAACAACTTTAGTGGAACGCGTATGAGCTTTGAAACGTTTATATTAATGTATAATATAAAAATATTAGTGTCTTTCGCCTGTATTCAAAAAGCTCATTCACACTCACACTCTTGAGTGTGGCATATAAATTTTGTTAATGCTGATCAATGAGAAAGTTCTTTCTGAAATCTGAATAAATGGAAAGATATAAGGTAAATCACTAAAGATCAAGCCAATATTCGGTTGGAAATACCGCCATTGAAACGTTATGAGAAAATTAAGATCTTCCACTCAATGAGCTTAAGTGTGAGTGAGCTTTTAGAATACAGGCGTTAGTCTTGCATTGTAAATATTTTGATATATCTGTTATACCCGACATTATATAATCATAGCAATGTACCCGAAATATTAAACTTTCTTGCTTCTGAAATCATCTTTGAAAGTATTATTGTCTTATGAATACCTCTGACTTAATACATGAAGCGAGCCAAACCCAAGGTCAAACAAAATCTACAAAGTTTTAAATGATTTCGTTCCAAGGTCGATTGACTCTTTGTACACAAAAGAAACAGAACAAAACAGAAATAAAAACATTTAGAAAAAGAAGAAAAAGGCATAAATATAAGGATTGTTTACACATGCAAGTAGGGCCAAAAATTTAATACGGGCATTTAGCAGAGAAGTCTTTGACAAAACTGAATTTCAATTAAATATTATTTCATAACAACTTTCCCTCTTGAAAATGTTAATTTCAGTAATTCCTTCTTCTGGGTAGAAATGGGTTCGTTTTGCAGTTACGAGTTATGAGAGCAATTACTCCAGGGGCGTGATAAATGGTTTTGTCGAGGTGCCTCATGACGTCATTATCTTAGATCACCTAAAACAAAGTTACATTAAGTAGTGGAGTAAACCGCTTGCCGCAGAGAAGAAAGTAATATAAATAAATAAGATCTATTATCGGGTTAACAATAACCTGCGCCTGCCCGACTTCCTCCCGCCTGCCCGCTACTCTCTCTGGGAAGCGAATCCGGTGCAATTATATTCACGAACTTCGTGTACAAATCCGAAAGATTGTGTTATCGTACGCATGCTAAAACCAGAACATTTATAATAAATCATACCCGGACCAGGAAAGCTATTTCCTTTTAAAAAATGTTGCTATATCTTTTATAAGGAATGCGAATGGATTTTCCCAGTATGTTCACTTCTTCCGGGTTTTCCATTCCACGTTTCAGAACTTCCGTTTCCGAGCTCGTCATATGATATGATATCATAGACTAAAACTAAACCGACAAACAGTCGACTGTTTTAGTCTACCCACAGTGAGTGTGGTCTATCGTCTAGTGTAGTCCACACTTCAAATTCCTAAGCAACAGTCTTCCTAAGACAAATGTTTTTATTATCCGCCACGCACAGCGAATGCTTTCCTCACTCGGTTTCGAGGAGAAATGGCGTGTAATTCATTTGGAGGCTACGATGACGAAAGATTCGTAAATAAAGTCGACGCTAGGCTGCTTTGTCCGATCTGTTTCAAGGTGGTCAAAGACCCAGTGCAATGCCCGAACGAACACCATTTTTGTCGCTCGTGTATTCAAAAGTGTTTGAAGGAAACCTCCGAAACCTGTCCAACTTGCCAACACCATCTCACGGAAGAAACCCTGGTCAAGCCAACGAGATTTTTTATGGAAACGTTGGATAGTCTCAAGATTCGTTGCGATTACGCAAGCCGTGGTTGTCGAGAAGTGGTCGAGCTTGAATTTCTCGATCGGCATGTCGAGAGTTGTGGCTATTCACCAACACGTTGTACAAACACGGGCTGTTCTGAAGTCATCAACCGAAACGAGCAAGAACGACATGAGAACGAACTTTGTCGTTTTCGTATCAGTGTCTGTGACGAGTGTGGAGAAAATGTAATTTGGAAATCTAAACGTGTTCACCCTTGCTTTATCAGAAAGGAAACGGACGACTTGATAAACAATATGAATGAAATTAAGCTGGCTCAAGACGAGTTTATTCGAAAGTTAATGGCCGATGTTGCCCGTCAAAATGTTGTCATTGATGATCTAAGTCGTAAAAACGAGGAAATGGGACATGAAATGAATACTATGAGAATAAACATGGAATATATTGCAACCGAAGCAACCGGAAGATGTGACTGGTTTAATGGATTCAAAAAGATTTATGTCTGCGGGGGACGTGATTATAGCGTTGTCCACAAATCTGTAGAGTCGTTTAGTTGGCCTGAGAACGCCTGGACATTGGAACCAGAAATGAACGTGCCACGATCAGCTCCTGTGGCATTTCTTTACCAGGGACGAATCAATGTAACTGGCGGTCGGTTTGAACAACCTGCAGCGGATTCTGTCGGGTATACGGACATCATTGAATGTTTGAATGTCGGCGAGGATGATACTGAATGGGTCGAGTCTTTTGTCAAGATGCCATTCAAATGCAACGGTCACGGAATGGTTTGTCGTGAAAATACCGCGATTTTAACTGGTGGCTTCGATGGGGTATTGGCTTCGGATGGAATTTACGGAATCAAATTAACTCCCCCATACACGACGAAGTTATTGTCTCATTTGCCAGAGGAAAGAGGCAGCCATGGTTGTCAGATTATTGACCATGAGGTTGTGGTGGTTGGTGGAAGCACAACAAAACAGGTAAACACCTGTAAGAATACTGTATACTCATACGATATTAACAATAATGAGTGCAAAACCTTGCCGCCACTGCCATTTCCTATCGCTGAGATGGCTACTGTTAGTTATAAAGGTAATATAATTTTGATCGGAGGTTATAACGAGAAAGGCGAAACATTGAACACAGTATTCATGTACGAAGTGAAAACAGGAAAGATTAATGCGTTGCCTTGTCTTAATCATAAAAGAGCGGGAAGTGCAGCAGTTATCACTGGCAATATCATTGTTGTTATGGGTGGGTATGACTTTCAGACTGGAACATATCTCAATTCAGTCGAGTGCTTAGATTTAAGTACCAATGAATGGAGGGAATTGTCACCAATGACAAAGAAACGAGGTTTTGCAACTGCAGTTCTTAAACCAAAGACGTGTTTTTAAGGGAACTTGTAATTAAACTAGTTGTGCTTTTTTAATAAGCAGTAGAACATCTGGGTCTGGTTGTATACGAAGGCCGAATAGGGCTATCCACCGGTTAGTGGGTATTTCAACCATTGCATGTAAACATACTGAAAACAATTTGTAAAATAACATCTTTGGAGCCATCATTTATTTATTATCAAAGGAGACTCCTTATTTCCAAATGCATAAGTATAATCAAAGTTATACCAAACAACAGCCATCTTCAGAGCGGTTGAAAAAACACTTCGGTGGTTGTATAGCGTTATACAGCTGAAGAATTTACTTCAACTTTTGTTAATAAACCTACATTTATCAGGCTTTGTTGTGACTTTTGTTGTTCCAGAAAATCTTCTCAACCGCCTAGTAATCTTCGGCTTCCCGATTCATCTGCGACATAGGAGATCGAATCTGGTGCATTTATGGCAGGTTTTTATGGCGACAGGTCTGTCACTCCCGCATTATCAGGTTTTCCAAGGCAGCGTCTCCCTCGTACATATTAGGCTGGATTTCCACTTGCAGAGAAATGGTTCGCTCTGCAATATTTTGCATATTTTCTTTTGAAATGAGAACAAACTGAACTGATTATTTCTATCAGAATGCGAAAGAATATACGCAAATATTTCGCCAGCGAACTCTTTCTCTGCATGCTGAAATCCACCCTTGCAATGGCTAATATCTCATCCCCAGTTAGGTTGATGTGATGAAGCCGGCAAAGTAGAAGTGTGTACTTGGATGCAGCATTCATATTTGATACCACACAATGCCAAAGAGGTTTGTTTCTCAGAAACCAAATGTGTTGATGTGCATATAAATAAACACAAACTGTCCACACGGCTATACTGCGCCTATATAGACAATTTGTACATAATACACTCCTAAATGAATGTCTAGGGGTAGTCTACGTCTTCTACGATAGCAGAACTGATCTCCAAAACTATCACGACCGTTGAACGGTTGTATTATTTTACGCGTGTTAAAGCGAGAGCATTTGAGAAAAGCGCCTTCTCCAGCCAGAAAAGCTATTTATTTCTACTGCATTCTTTAGTAGAGTTTTGCTAAGGAATGTTGTTTGCTGAAAGACGCCCACGCGACTAATCGATTGATTAAGTTTAGTCTCAAGATGGAAGGATTTGTTGAGTGGAGTAATGCGGAAACGCGGACTGAGGATAAAGAGTATCCCAATTCCCAGCAAGAATAAATGTTTAAATGTTTTTTTAAATAAATAATACGTATATTTATTATCCTATTTTCTTTAAAAAGCGGATAAATGGATTTCAGTTTTCAGTTACAATGTCTATTAACTTATTTCAGGTTAGTTTCATGCAATAAAACGAAATAGATGCAAACAGTAGGCGACTATTTTCGACTATTTCCAATTCTTCCTGGTGTCCCATTCCGCGTTTTAGAAATTTCCGTTTTCAATCGATATAACTTCCTTTGAGACAGTCATGCGATATCGCTACTTAGACTTAGCATCTGAACGTATTTTGCAATACGAAGAAGGAATCATTCTAGAACTAAGGCTTTTATTATCAATCTCACAAACAACGAATCGAACAAGCTGCGAATGTCTTCATTCTGTTCGGAAAAGAAATGGCGAGGAGAAGTTCATTTGGAGGCTACGATGAGGAAAGATTCGTAAATAAAGTCGACGCTAGGCTATTTTGCTTGATCTGCTTCAAGGTGGTCAAAGACCCAGTGCAATGCCCGAACGAACACCATTTTTGTCGCTCGTGTATTCAAAAGTGGTTACAGGAAAGCTCCAAAACCTGCCCAACTTGTCAACACCATCTCACCGAAGAAACCTTGGTTAAACCACCGAGATTTTTTATGGAAAGTTTGGAGCGTCTCGAAGTTTTTTGTGATAACGCAAGCCGTGGCTGTCGAGAAGTGGTCGAGCTTGAATTTCTCGATCAGCATGTCAACAGATGTGGCTATTCACCAACTTGTACAAACACGGGCTGTTCTGGAGTCATCAACCGAAACGAGCAAGAACGATATGAGAACGAACTTTGTGATTTTCGTATCATTGTCTGTGACGAGTGCGGGGAGGAAGTGATATGGAAGTCGAGAGCTGTCCATATCTGCTTCATGCGGAAGGAAATCGATAATTTAGTCAAGGAAAGAAAGAATCAAGACCGGTGTATTCGAAAGTTGACGGCCGATGTTGCCCGTCAAAATGTTGTCATTGATGATCTTCGCCGTAGAAACGAGGAAATTGTATATGAAATGAATGATATGAGAGCGGAAGTTCGATATACTGCAACCGAAGCGACCGGAAGATGCGACTGGTTTAATGGATTTAAAAATATTTATGTCTGCGGAGGACGTGATCTTAACGATATCCACAAATCCGTGGAGTCGTTTAGTTGGCCTGAGAACGCCTGGACATTGGAACAAGAAATGAACTTGCCGCGATCAACTCCTGCAGCATTTCTTTACCAGGGACGAATCAATGTGTCTGGCGGTCGAATTGGGCTCATTGGAGCCGACTCTCTCCAATATACGAACAGCATTGAATGTTTGAATGTCGGCGAGGACGATGAGGAATGGGTCGAGTCTCTCGTCAAGATGCCAATCAAATGCAATGGTCACGGAATGGTTTGTCGTGAAAATACCGCGATTTTAACTGGTGGCTGTTATGGGAACATTTGTTCGGATGGGATTTACGAAATTAAACTAACTCCCCCATATACGACAAAGTTATTGACCCAGTTGCCAGAGAGAAGATGTTTCCATGGTTGTCAGATTATTGACAACGAAGTCGTGGTTGTTGGTGGAAGCACAGCAAAATTTGCACGGGACAATCGAAACACTGTGTATTCGTACGATATTAACAATAACGTATGTAAGACCTTGTCTCCTTTGCCAATTCCTATCTCTGCTATGGCTACTGTTGGTTATAAAGGTAATGTAATTTTAATCGGAGGTACCGACGAGAAAGGCGAAGCATTGAACACAGTATTCATATACGAAGTGAAAACAGGTAAAATTAAGATTTTACCTCGTCTTAATCATAAAAGAGCTGGATGTACCGCAGTTATCACTGGTAATATGATTATCGTCATGGGTGGTTATGATTATGAAACTAAAACATATCTCAATTCAGTCGAGTGCTTAGATTTAAGTACGAATAAATGGAGAGAATTACCTCCAATGAAAAGAGAACGAGCTTGGGCGACTGCATTTCTCAAAACAAATTCTTTTAAAAGGGACTTTAGTGAATGAACTATATATAGTTGAAATTTAATGGAAGTGATTTGAATCGAATAAAATTTCTTATTTTTGTCTATTTTTTTCTCATTAGCTGTAAATGTACTGAATGCTCCTACTTTTACATTATGGTTTAAAAGCAGATAGAGTCGCATCAAAATTGAGTTGTACGGTCAAACAGAGCACCCTAAAGAATCAGATAGATTCACTCCACATCAGTGTTGAGATATCTCAACTGTCGTTAAAAACTGATATTGCTGCGCGTCACTAACGAAGCTAGATTCAGATTATTTTGCATCAAGAGGCGCCATTTTTTAGTTTGTTATTTCGTTGAATTTGGTTTCGAGTAGTTTTCAAACTCATATCAACCATATTTGTGTTCTAAATAAACAAGCATAATTCAAATCATGGTGGACACAAAACCCTAGCATTATTTCACTTCGATCTAATTCTTAATTAAATAGCTAATACGCCAAAGAATAGTTATGGATTTATCATTCTGACGAATGGAAACGAGTGCCTACACAAACTTTCTCATCTCGTTAAATGCGGAACATTAAAAATGTGAGGTTTGTACGCTTGTTAATATACTTTCAGTACGTGAACACATATATTCTCAGGTCATAACTACCAGGTGTAAGGAGGTGATTGTAACTTAGGAATTTTTCCCATGGTTGTTTCCCGTGAATTTTTCCCACATGCCAACTATAGTTTGACTTCTGATAATAGACAGTGTTACATAGCAACATGCAGGTAATAGCCACAGGTACACATAATAATTGTAATAGAGGTGTTTTAATAATACCATTCATGCCGTTAATGATTTATACTCAATGCTCTGACTCAATGCTGTGTAGGAATCGTTTGAATTCGATTTTAAAGCCAGAATGTTTATGGGTTGACATAATATCGAACTGTTGATCATCTTCACTAAGAAGAAAAGCCTGCTTGTAACTTGTAAGTTAGAGCTTCCAATGTTTCTTCTAACAAGCTTCAAAACAACCCATACTGGGGATTTCATAGGACTCTCGTTTCATCTTGGATCTTATCTGAACACGTAGGGATAGTTTGGGTTATTGCTTAATAATGTTCACATGTGTAACTTCATGTCGGCACTGGTTCAATAGACAATATTGAACCAAAAACAAAATGTTGCATCACGGGAAACTTTGATAACACCTGAAAAATAAAAAATATGTGATGACTTGCTGAAATGTATTATTGAATAATTGCTGTCCTGTCATAATCTGATAATGATGATGACGTCATACACACTGACGTCATGGTACACAGATTTTGTCGACACAAACTTCTCATTATCTTTTAAAAAATATTCTCATCTATCAAAACGGTAGAATGTTGGAAAAGTAGTTTGATTGGCTCCGCAAAATTAACGAACCAATCAAATTAGTCTGTCCGCGTTTGACGTCATTATGAGAAAAGGTCTATTGTGGAATCTAGAAAAGAGATAATACAGTGAACTAACCTCGGCTTTGTACATTTTTAACAAACCACTATTAACTTTACTCCAAGTTTGAACACTGCTAATCCCCCAGAGGGTGTTAGAATGCTCGAAAAACGGTCCAGTTTTTACCTAGTTGGAGACACAGTTGAATATTTTAATATTTAATGTAGTTAAAAAACGAGTCAGCGTATTGCCCGGTGGACTTTTACCGTCAAAAATTCCTCAATTTTGAAGCTCACCTCGTGAATGTTGTTAATACAGTCGAAGAAGAGGTATTCATTTTTATTAGCGTTACAAACTTTCTGCTCCGGTATCGAATTTGGCCTCAAAGCATAGTTATTATCTAAACAACAAATATAACGAGATTTGAATGTCGCTCGAATTTCTAAGTTACCTAATTTGTGCAATCTGACTGGACGAGCGATCTAGAATTCTGATTAGAGGAACGACTTTTTCCACCAATGAAAAATAGTCGTTCCGTATTTTGGCGGCAATTTGTTTGCAGTTTTTCAAGATGGCGACGAAATATATGAGTGAGATTCTGGTGAGATTTGGAATGAACAAATTTTCAGCACAGAAACTTAAATTGAACAAAATTACGAAGTATTAAAATATGTTTCTCGCTGCACCCTTGTCTTTGCATTTATAAGCTTGAATTTGAAAATATTTTAGGTATAGTTTACATATTTAAATCAGGCTGTTATTGAAGTGTTTTTTTTTACTTTCCTCAATGGATATATATTTGCAAGTGGGGAGGAAATGTTATATTTCGGATTAATGCTTTTGCGATCTAACCATCGTAGAACGGTAGATATGTGTTTTTTCTACCCAAGTAATTTGTGAGAAATTTCTTGAAGACTCCATTACCTGACAATTGCGCGCTTCCCCAGAAAAATGGTAGAAAATTGAAATCATCCAAACCCCAAACACCATGGCTGCCGGCTGGCTCCATCCGATAGACCTTTTGAAGGCGACGCATCAAGTCTAAATATCTAAAACAGGGGCGAGATTTTTTGGTTATTTTTTGTCGAGTTTGCCGGCTCACGAAGGACACACGAGGTGTGTTGCTTCGCTGAATTGTCACATTTCTGTTGTGTTGTTATGTGATGTGATCTTTGTGTCGTGTTGACACAGTTCTATACTGCTGGGCTTTACCTTAGCTCTCATAGTTGGGGAGGGGAGCCGAGTCGAATTTGCTACTGGAGGATAGTTCAAATATTTTCCCAACAAGGATACCTGAGCTGGGTATTATTAAAGTATTCGCTATTTTTTTTTTTGTAAGGTGTTCCCAGGGCAGATTTGTAGAGGAGGAATTCACACCAGTTGCTAGGCTTGGGTTGGGGTACAAGTAAAGAAAGGCACTACCCTGTTTTTTTCACAGCTCCAGAGAACACTGAATTTCTTTTAGTACTCATTTTTATACATAATTCCCCTAAACTTGAATAATGCCTGAATTAATACCTAATTTAGACCCTTCTTCACCCACTCCTCTGAACAAGGCTTGAGAGTGTGAACTCTCTACACCCCCTCCCCTCATCTCCCGGTAAATCTACCTCTGCCACATTATGCAGTATGTGTGTGTGACCTGTATCCCAGTGACTAAGCTTGCCTTTTAAAAATATGGAAAACTGTAGCGGTATAGTCACTTTCTTGTAAAACGTTTAATTTATACAGGCAACAAAGAAACGCTGTGAAGGATGCTTCATGACCTACAAAAGTAAACAGCAGATTTCAGTGTGGAAATAACAATAACTGAGGTTTGCATACTTAAATGTCTTTAACTGAAGTTCAAATACTAGCAGAAAGCCAGTTTCACTAGAATTACCTGAACCATAATCAATTCTTGTTTTATTACCAAATCCATCTGTAAAATTAGCAATGGATACCTTACAAAAACATCATTTTTAATAACACATGAAATCTCAGGCACTATATGGCATGTTGGCAGCTTGGAAGGGCAGCTAGCAGGCTACAGGGACAAGCTTAGACTGATCTCACCTTTAAAATAGGCTTGTAATTCAAGTATCGCCCCTGATTGGTCACTTGGCAATAAATCTTTCAAAAGTGTTTCACTCTCCTGGGAAAATGATTGTTATGTTAATTGTTAGAAAGTGTGTTGAAAATATCCTCACATTAAAAAGGTGTGTAAATATGTACACATGTAAGCTCTCTTGCTTATTCAAAACATGCCGAAATACTTCTGAAATACAGAAATACTTCACACAACATACTGTTTCAAGTTTTGTGAACCAGTCTCGATAAGCTGTGTTGCCAAATCTGACTGGTTGATCCACAGCAGGACATTCGTCTATCCATTTATCCAAAATCTCAAGAAGTTGAACAACTTTTTCACACTTCTAAACAAGAGAATGATGTTGGATAATGAAAGTACAAAACATTTTAAACATTGACCATTCATCGCTTCCTTTCTGTTAGCTCTTTCGGTCAACTGCATTGATAATACCTCAGACTTGATGTAATCACTTTGCATTGTTTTTTCTTTCACTGCATTATTTAATGCCATTATGAACCCCAGAAACTCATGATATGCCTACGGAAATAGTAAAGTAATGATTTCAGCTAATTTAGCTAAGAAATTACGCACCGAGATCGTTGTATTTAGGCCTCAGAATATCTTATTCTGCCCAATGTCAAGCAATTTTACTATTGCAAGGTGATGATGAGATACAATCTTGCTTCATGTAGATGATTGCTGTTGGTAGTTGATGGCATTTCTAACAGTTAGATTAGCAAATATTATATATCATGCATCACGCATCTCAAGTTAGCCCATCATATTGCTGTGTGCAAATCTTTTAATAATTAACAAATGCCACTTGCTGATGTTAGATTATGAGGTTATATTTGCTACCCACTAAATTGGCTGTATTCACCTACTGACAAGTAAAATCATCTGGCATTGTACAGACTATTATTATAAATAATACCAGCTACATCACTAACTGTAGTTACCACATAACCCAAGTGCATTACTGCTAATGCAAAAATTCCAAACACTTTCCTTTGCTAAGGAAGATCCTTTGCTCAAGACGGAGCAAAATTGAACGGCAAAGCGCATTGCACCTAACGAAATTAGCTCAAAATGCGCGGTTTAAAATGCGTCAATTTTACAGTCTTAAATTATCTTTGAACAAGAATTAATATTTCAAATTCAAACCTGTGATTTCAACCAACGAGGCATATCGATCGGAGATAGTATTTCACGTTTTGGCTCCATATAATTCATACCCTCCATGATAGCAACTCTTGTGCAAAAATAACTCGGTAAAATTTATTGTAAAAGTGTTGAACATTACCTTGTTTATATATTTTTTTGACAAAAATATTACTATTCCAAATTCTACCGAAGATACGCCGATACGCCTTCGGAAGTTCCCGGACGTTTTTGCCGCAATGGCGCAATCAGGCGGGAAATTTATCAAAACAAAATACGATTGCCCTTTAAATTGGTGGGCTCCGAAATGCTTGGGGCTCTGAACTGAAATTCTTGAGTATAGAATGGAGTGGTAGGGTCATGCCACAGTACGCAGCTGTGTATTATTTTGCAAATAGTGTAATGTTAGTAAAACACAAAAATATTGACTGAACTAAAACTTTGTCCCTTCAGGCGCCGTTAAATAGCCTCTGCGACGCAGGCTACTGTTACACAGTGCAATTTTTCTTTGAACTTGTAATGCAATTCTACTTTTGAGAGATATAAGTTTGGCCACTAAGAAATTTTTTCTCCACTCTCCATGTACGTTTCCTAGTCTTACATTTTGAATACTCTGTACTAATTTACATCTTTTAAAAGCAGGATTGCAATGCAGGTTGCAAGAAAAATTGCACGGTGTAACATGACCTTTTTAAAATGACAAGGCAAAAATTGACAGGTCATTTTTACCACATCCCACTGATCTAATAATACACTGGATAAAGCAACTATGACTATCAGAAATAAAGCCAGAATTAAGTCGGAAAAATTCTGAGGCTGTATCTGATCTGGTCTGATCATAAACAGGATATACGAACTATACCCATATATAAAAAACGAAGCCTCTATTAATGTTTTCAATGTGTCCAGTCATTGCTGAGTTTGAAGACTCTTAAATGTAACTTTGTGTGTTCACAGTTTTGTTAATTTATTAACTCTTTCACTTTTATCTTTTTCACACATTCACTAATTTGACATTAAAAAAATCACTTCAATGTATAAAAGGATAATTACATAATACCACATTTTTATAGATAATGTTTCCTCTTGGTTAATTACTATTATTATTTCTTACCCCCCTTTGTATCATTTGTATCATTCTTCTTTCCTTTACCTTTTTCGTTCATTCCATATGCCATGTCTTTTGGACTCCATTCTTCAATTGTCGGAATAATGTTTCGATTTTCAGAATCATCATGCTTTTCTCCAATTAAATGACTTTCCTCAACAGCATCAAGTTTCTTTCCTACCCTCTCTCTCTCTTCTCTCTCTTTTTTCTTCGCGTTTTCTTTCACTAGGTTCTCTGGTGCCTTGTCTAATGTTTTCTCACGCCGGGTTCTCTCTTCACTGACGGCAACCCTCGATGCTTTGAAAGCTTTTTCAGCCTTTTGTTGGCCTATTCCTGCCTTTTCGACATCATCCATGAAAGTCAGCTTGAAACTTTTGATCAGAAATAGAGCAGAACACTCCTTTCTAACTTTAGCCAAGGCTAACCTGGCATCCACCAGCTGGATTCCTTTCAATATCTGCGGTTTGTAGGTCGTCATAGCGTTCACGTCGTTCAAGCATTTCTTCATCATTGTACAATGATTTTTGCCGTTATTCGTCCATCGCCCTCGAATTCCATTAATTGATTTTCCAACGTATACTTGCGTTCGACCAATTTCATTCAATTCTAGTTTTCCACCAGCCTCAAAATCTTTGTCGTCGAGAACGGCCCAATAAAGAGTTGGTGTTTTCAAAGCTTTCTTCAGGCTGTCATCGTCACCTTCATGGATGTCTGCATTTTCTTCAATAAAAGTCATGATATGCGTGTTAATCCAAGACAAATAATCATTGTTTTCTGGGTTTTGAAAAGTATCCCTTTCAGCATTCCAGATTTTCCACCCTTGTGATGTTTTTATAAACACTTCGGGACATAACCTTTTTTTAGGGCAGCCACACAGTTCTAGAAATTTGTCAGACATACGTTCCCTGTATAGCGTTGCCAAGGTCCAAGCTTTCCTCGGGATATGATGTAGGAACTCTCTTGACTTTTGCTCTTCGCAAAATTGGTAAAATGTATAATCATTTGGTTTTCCATTCATTTCGTTCCAGCTGATGTTATATTGACGCTCGATAAGGTTTTTCGCAAACTCCTGCGAAACACCTTCCTTTAAACCAACTGCTATATCCAGAGGAGACTTGGCTTTTCCCAGCCATGTCTTTATATCTCCTTTAAATTTTGGTTTTGGGGAAAAATAATCAGACAACTCTTTATTTTCATCAATGCCAAGCAGCGAATAAAGTTCTGTTTCTTCTTCCTCGTTATATAACAGGCTCAGATTTACTTTATTTTGGATCGCTTCGTTTACTGCTACAGCAAATAGTTTCATTACTATTTCTTGGTTCTTGGAAACATCGTTATCACTAGACCAACAGTAACCACAGGCTTCAAGCTGACCGTGCATCTTTGCGCAGGAAGTTTTGTTTGTTCGAATTCCGTTCGCAATAGTCTTCAAGTTCCCCAGAATTGACTGGAGATTTGGAGTATTTTCGTCCGGAGCCATTTAGTTTCTTTGGGTTCACACAAACGTTTACACTATCTTTCCACGTAGCAAAACCTCTCTTAAAATAATGTATATTATATTGATACGCAAGGCTTTATTGTGTTCAGATGTATATGCATATAAAATATGAAAATACTTGTAAAATAGGAAATATCACCTGCCAATGACGGTGATAAATAATTCATTTTTGCCATCAAAAAACTCATGAGTAAATACACAGTAATATAATTTTCGCCAATCGAATAGATCCGCCCCTGCTTTGGGTTTACACAAACGTTTACACTATATATATATATATATATATATATATATATATATATATATATATATATATATATATATATATATATATATATATGTTTCCAAGTAGCAGAACCCCTCTTAGAATAATGTATATTATATTGATACGCAAGGCTTTATTGTGTTCAGATGAATATGCATATAAAATATGAAAATACTTGTAAAATAGGAAATATCACCTGCCAATGACGGTGATAAATAATTCATTTTTGCCACCAAAAAACTCATGAGTAAATACACAGTAATATAATTTTCGGCAATCGTTAATTGCTTTTCCTTTCATGCATGGCATTTCGTGAGATCGAATAAAGTAGTGAGGTGAAAACATCAATCAAACTGTCAGAACGTGCGCATCTGAATCAACAGTCGTATGTCGTTGCCAAGTTTAACTGTCACATTAAAAAATATACATGCTTTAAGCAAATGCGAGTTCTCATGTCAATCAATTGTGCAAGGTCGCGCATTTTAATTCGATAAAATTTGGAGTGAAAATAGTTTAAATTGAAAGATATTGTTCACAGAGATATTGTTTGTAAATTTTGCTAGTTGTTGATGATAAATATTTTAAGTTGTGAACATTTTTAAGTATTGATCGATTGAGCAGAAGACCAACTCGACTAGTGCGACAACGCCTTAAACAAACAAGATTAAGACGCCTTAAACAACGCCCAGCCACATTTCCTACTTACAATGCTGATTGGTTGGATAGGGATCAGCCCACTCTTGTTGATGACGTGTGCAAGTTTCCCTCAACCTTTACTATAAAAGGGGGTGCACAACACCCGAACCTTCAATGGACCAACGGAGTAAAAACCATATGAAACGTTGAAGAAGCTCAACAAGAACAGACAAAGAAGACGCTACAGAGAATGACGAAGATCCAGAAGACAAAGAGCCGATCCAGAAGCCAACATTAATGAATATCAGTTCAGCATTGTAAAGATCTCTTACCTCGCGTAGAAAATAAAAGCTATTTAACAATATTAACCAACAAATCATGAACTCGACGACAATATCTTCGCAGACATACTGATTTCTAATTTCCGTTCTAGGCAACAAAAGGTTCTCATGCAGTCCAAAGCAACTTGTTTTGTAATGTAAATATTTCCAAAAAGGCCAAATATTAACTGCCGTGTTGCTTCAAAAGAGCGGAAACTATAACACGCTCTCTTATGTTCTGTCAATGAAAGAATATGAGAGTTATACTTGTTCTCAGCTATATCGTGACTGAGGTAATCGAGTAAAATGAAGTAATATTTTAACATCTAATACGGGGGTTTTGTGAGTAATATTCGGCTGGGCAGAAAGGCCGCCCGCAAAAAATACATTATACCCAACTTTATTAAATCCAGTTCATTACAAAGGGTATCCAATGACACCATACAGTTTTTACAAAAAATATACATTACATTTTGTATCATAATACAACAGACGACACGTATACACTTATAGAACTTACCCGCCTCCCTAAATAACTTCAAAAATGTTTAGAAATGGCGAAGGTATAGCTAGCTATATTTTGACTATAGTTTCAATCTAGCGTTGCGATACGTGGCATATGAAACATACATTTTGCTAATAACAGAATTCGACATGGCCAGTCACGCGTTATATAGTTATATATCACGCAATCTATTATTAGATTGGATTACTAAGTTGATTGTTACAATTTTAGAATATAATATGAGGAATCTATATCGAAAATTTTTAACTGCACATTTTTCTATTTATATTGATAATGACTTCTATTTACAATTCATTCCATATGCCATGTCTTTTGGTTTCCAAAAATCATCTTTTCCAAACCTTATACAAACCGTTTCCAAACCGTTTCCACAACGCTGGTCATGTTTTTCCCCTCTCGGTGATTTTTTTCAGCTTTTTTAAGTTCACCTTCATCGCGAAAGGTTTTGATGACAAAAAGAGCAGAAGGCTCTTGTCTAACTTTGGCTAAGGCTAACCTGGCATCCACCAGCTGAATTCCTTTCAATATCGGCGGTTCGTAGGTCGTCATAGCGTTCACGTCGTTCAAGCATTTCTTCATCATTGTACAAAGATTTTTGCCGTCATTCGTCCATCGCCCTCGAATTCCATTAATTGATTTTCCAACGTATACTTGCGTTCGACCAATTTCATTCAATTCTAGTTTTCCACCAGCCTCAAAATCTTTGTCGTCGAAAACGGCCCAATAAAGAGTTGGTGTTTCCAAAGCTATCTTCAGGCTGTCATTGTCACTTTGTTGGATGTCTGCATTTTCTTCAATAAAAGTCATGATATGCGTGTTAATCCAAGACAAATAATTCTTGTTTTT